CCTCCTCCTCACGCTGCCGTAGCTGCCATGGAACTCGAGAAGTGCGGACTCTGCGGCTGGAAGGAGCCAAAGATGCGACCATAAGACTCGCTCCATGGAGGAGCAGGAGCAGGAGCAGGAGCAGGAGCAGGAGCAGGAGCAGGAGCAGGAGCAGGAGCAGGAGCAGGAGCAGGAGCAGGAGCAGGAGCAGGAGCAGGAGCAGGAGAGCAGGTATATGTCTATACAACATTCTCGCAACATGCAATCTGTTTCCTCTTGTCAGTTCTCCTTCATCGCGTCACTTCCATCTCTTGATCGCCACACACAGCACGAGGCAGAGCACTCCTCCTCGCCACACCACCTTCCATCCCTGCTCGATGCTCTCAGAGCAGAGCTCGTGCTTTTGACTTCCCAGCGAGTAGCATCCTCGCTTCTCCAGCCGTACTCCCATCGCTCCTGCCAGCGCCGCCATCGGCCATCCGGCGTTGGGGCTCTCGCAGCGGCCGGCATGCTGCCATGCTGTCACGATGGAATCCCGAGCTGAGTCTCCAGTAGATGCCGAGCTGAGGGCCAGGAGAGCGGCGGTGAGGCGGGCAGGAACAAGGTTCACCGCGTCGTCCAGCCATGCCGCCACCTTCCCGAGGTACTCGAACCTTCCGCGGTATCCGACGCGCGAGTCAAGCGTGTTGATGACGCGGTACGTGACGGCACCTGGCAGGCCGAGGACAGAGAACCAGCAGAGAGGAGCGACGTAGCCGTCTGAGAGATTCTCCGAGATAGACTCAAGGGTCCCCGCTACCAACTCCTTCTCATCCAGCTTCGACGGGTCACGGCTGCACAGCCAACACAGCTGGTTGCGAGCTCGGGGCAGGTCTTGGCGGTCGAGGAGCTTCTTCATTTGCATGGCGCAGGCTCCGAGGAGGTGAAGGCTATGAGAGCTCTTGAGCAGCCAGGCCCCGAACGCGAAGTGGAGGAAGCGAGCGTGGGGGAGGAGCTGGAGCCACTGGTCGAGAGATCTTACAGCTGCGAACGAGGTGCAAGCACACGACAGGGTGATCAGAGACCCGCAGAAGAGTCCGAGAGCAGGAGAACTGTACGCCCGGTCTGGCACCCAACTCAACAGCTTCGAGATCGCATTTCCAGTCCACACGACAGGATGGAGGGTGTAGGGCGGCTCCCCTAGAAACCTGTCCCAGCAGAAGGCAGCCAGCATGAGGCTGGTGGCTCGTCCCAGCTGGCCCTCAGCACGATAGGACAGGAGGAAGAGCGAGAGACCGACGGTCTTGGACCGGAGGGAAGGGGAGGGGAGCTCGTCTTGGGGGTTGACGGAGATGTCGGTCTGCTCGAAGCACGAGTGCAGGAGCGTCGGAAGCCAGAGGGAGGCGACTCTGTAGAGCTGATGGCAGCGATACCGCAGCTCTGACTTGTAGTAGTGAAGGATCGCTTCTTTCACCGATGACCCGGTGGCCTCACAAACGGCCTCGGCCAGCAACTGAGCAAAGAGCACATGCTTCCCAGCATATCGGATCTTCTCTGCGCTCTGATCCCGACGGGAGAGGAGGACGATAGAGTCTGTTCCTGTTCCTTGGCAGATGCTTCCTGAGACTTCCGATGTGATGTACCAGTCCGACATCACCCTACATTTCCCTTCCACGCAGATGGCCAAAGCCTCCACCATGGCTGCCTCCTCCATCGGGCTCGAGACGAAGACGACAGTGTTGATGGTGCCTTTCTTTTCTTCCTCGGGAGTTCGAATGTGCTGCCTGCAACTCTCAGGTCAAAGCGCATCGTCTTCTACAAGGAAACAACTCAACCAGTCTGCCTTGTCTCCTGCTGCTCTGGCGTTGGACAACCCTGCAGTGACAAAGACGCGTATCTCGACCCCGCTCTCCTTATCCCTTCGAGCTGCTTCCTTGAAGGTCGACATGCTTGCTGCCGTCATCATCCCCACACATCTCGACGGGTCCACTTCCTCCTCTTGGCAGAACTCATAGATCAGCTGCTCGGGAGGCGTGTCCATCGTGTAGTCGGGGCTGACCTTGACGTTCACAACGGAAACATCCTCCTCCTCCTCTCTGAAGCCTCCTCCCACTACTCCACTCGATATGACCCTCCATGCCCCCTCTCCTCGCACCAGCACTCCGCTCTCCTTGCGCCGAACCTCAAGGTCGCCCAGCATTGTTTGTGCTGCAGCCGTATCTTACAATATCCTCATCTTCTTCTGAGGCGAACTTGTTTCTCCTACCTTCCGGATTCACTGGTTCCCCGGAACAGTTGGACTAATAAAACCCCCTTGGGGTGACCACACAAGTTGACAAGAGCTCGTGACATTATCATTTTATCTTCATATGGCGATAGCAACGTGCGGACCATGTTGGTACCAATAATGTTTGTACAATGTTTGTACAATGTTTGTACAATGTTTGTACAATGTTTGTACAAGGTTTGTTCCCAGAGGCCGACCCTCACTGTGATACAAGCCTATGCGTATCCGGCAGCAGGAAAACATTTGCCCCCGGCTGACAATCTTGCCCCCTCTTCTCTCCTCCCTTACAAAAGCCTCCAGCACGCGGGTCGGGCAGCACCTGCCATGAGCGAGTTGACCACCCATCAGCGGGGAATGTGGAAACGCGGCCAAGCTCCCATCGTCCCCGTGACGGTTCTGACTGGCTTCCTGGGATCGGGCAAGACCACGCTGCTGAATCACATTCTGAATGACTCGAAGCACGGCATGAGATTCGCTGTGATAGAGAACGAGTTCGGTGAGGTAGGCATCGACGAGAAGGTGCTGAGCGAGAACGTGGACGAGGAGATAGTCGAAGTCATGAACGGATGCATTTGCTGCACGGTTCGCGGGGACCTGGTGGAGGCTCTGAAGAAGTTGTACAAACGAGTGGAGCAGTTCAACGGTATCATCATCGAGACGACAGGTCTGGCTGACCCAGCGCCTGTTGTCCAGACGTTTTTCATCGATGAAGACATTCAGAAGAAGTATAGGCTGGACAGCGTGATCACGGTGGTCGATGCAAAGCATATTCTTTCTCGCCTCAAAGAAAAGAAACCAGAGGGGGTGGAGAACGAGTCTGTAGAGCAAGTGGTGTTTGCCGACAAGATCCTGCTCAACAAAGTGGACCTGGTGGATGGCAACACCTTGAAGAAGATTGAGACTGAGCTCCGAGCTTTGAACCCAACGGCTCCCATCCTTCAAACGCAACAGAGTCAGGTCAATGTCAAGGAGGTTCTCAACGTGAACGCGTTTGACCTGAAACGTGTTCTTGAGTTTGACCCGGGCTTCTTGGATGGCGACCAGGAGCATCAGCATGATCTCTCCATCGCTTCAGTGGGAGTGAAGACGTGCGACGAGGTCAACATGGAGTTGCTTCAGCGATGGATTCAACGTCTCATCACTGACGAAGGGGCCAACCTGTACCGTTACAAGGGAGTGATAGCAGTCAAGGGCATCGAAGAGAAGTTTGTGTTCCAGGGCGTCGGGATGCTCTTCTCCGGGGGTTTCCATGGACGCTGGCGAGCACGCGAGGTTCGGGAGAGCCGATTCATCTTCATTGGAAGGAACCTTGACAAACAATCGCTGATAGCTGGCTTCGAAGCCTGCGCTGCTAACAGAAAGCTTCGGTTCGCTGTCGGCGACACGGTGCTTGCCAACGTTGGTCGATGGAAGGAGGGCGTCATCTTGGCCCAATGGGACTTGGGGAACGCCTATCGGATCGAGCTCAATGACAGACAAAAGAGCAACGTGTGGGCCCCGATCGATGCAGATCAATATGTTCGAGCTGTCGAAGTTTGAATGAGATCAACTCGGAGCTGACGAGCTTACACGTGGAGCACCTTGATGTGAGGACGATGATTGATCTAGCGATTTCAGGATTAGGTGTGGTCGTGAATAAGTAGTGAGAATGAAAAGACAGTGTGACCCGAACTTGTGACTTCAACTTCACCTTCTCGTCATCTTAACTCACAATCTGACTTCTGACACCAACTTCAACCTCTCTCTTACAAACGCAGTTGTCTCTCTCCAGTGTCTTGCTACTGATCATATATCAGTGTCCCTACGATAACCTGATTCTTTCCCGGTTGAGTAATTGCTGTTTGAAAAGCCGCTCCTCATGCCGGGAGGAGAGCCCGGAGGCTGTGACGAGTTTGAACAAGGAATCGACACAGATGATCAGAGAAAGAATTCAATCAACAAACGAGCTTACGGAGGCTGTGAAAGCGTATAAGGCGCATTTGTACAGTCAGTGTGGCACGCAACCAACAGCTTCATCGCCAACAACACTTGAGGACAGTGAACGTCCAGCATCAGAAGCAGCGGCGCCCGAATGCAGTACCAGTAGGAACGATGACGGGAGTGGCTGCAAGATGGGTAGGGAGATGGCCCCGCCGCGCAGAGACGGACGGCCTGAAAGAGCATTGAACGCACGCGGATCAGAGCACGGCTGGAAAGGAATGACGACTTATCACGTGTTGGTGCTTTAACACTTTGGAGATGCCCATGCAGGGCTGAAACCCTTCAAGTATATGAAAGGCTCTCAGTTCTCCCCTGCGTCGTCAGGCAGTAGAAGGCTGAGATCTGAAGGAAGCTGACTTCATATATGACAGGGCGAAAATTTCTTGGACGAACAGTCTGAGCGAGTGTCGAGGTTGAGAGGACTGCAGAATGGAACCAAACGATTCCGTGACCTTTCATGGATGACTGTTTCAGACCTTCTCAGCCCTTCGAAGCAGGCCGCATGGATATCCGAGGCATCGAACAAGCCGAGACGGAAAGAGAATGATACCTGATCAAAGGGTGTGAAATACAAAATGCGATGACGCTTTAATCGACGTCTTTATGATACTGGCGGAGATCATCAATCTTGTCATAATCCTACACACCTGATGCTGCACTACATCAGTATTTCAACATCCAAGTGACTGCAAGGGCAAGGACTCCAAGACAGGCGGCAGGAGCGACGGCAGAAGGGAGCTGCTACTCTATCAGAGGTCGAGGGTCTCTTCCCTTGTGCAAGCGAACAATCGTAAGGGCAGTTGCCGTGTATCAGCGTCATCAAACAAACTAGCTGTTTAATAGATACAAGACACCAGGATCAAGGTCTCGCGCCTCAACCTACTACGAGGCTACTCACAACGCTATCCAAAAGACTCTTGCACTCTTACAATCAATCATCACCGGCTCTCAAGCCGCTAGCGACGGGCCTGCCCCTTTTCATGAGTCCACTTCTCAATATAAATTCCGCTGGCAGAAACCAACCCTTCTGGCTCCATGCGAGGAGATAAGCTTCCAAATGGCTGCATCTAGCTCAATTCTGACTTCCCTCCGCATGCAACTTCCATTCTTCGCTTTTCTCCTCGTTGACACATTGAGTTTTTCACTTACGATGGTTGAATTGAATGCATGTAACATCAGAGAGCCATCTTGCCCGTCACATAATCTTCGTGACGTGAACGCTCGATGACCCCTCTGACTCATGCGACTTTCACTTGCTCTTCGCATTTCCAGCTTCCCACGTAGTCACCTGCCCTCCAGTCTCAGATCAAACTGTCTGTCCAGCATTCCGCCTGACCTGATCTTTCACGTTGCACATCCTAGCTCGTTGAACCTTCACAGTGATGACCGCCTTGTCTTCTCCCTGAGCCGAGCACGTGAGCGATTATCAGCCAGAGTCTTGCTAGAAGACCTCAATGAAATTTTCGTACTGTCGATTCTTTTCCAAGTGAATCTGCCTGTACCTTGAAATCTGTGAGGACCAGTCACGGACAACGTCAAGGAGACACCTCTTCGCTCTCTCTCCATCTTCGATCCTCGCGATGCCGAAGATCGAGATGGAGAGTGTCCTCCTATATTCATCGTCGTGATTCGTTTTCGCCATCTGCACTCGCACATCACCCTACACACACGCCCGGCATGACGTTACCTGAGGAAAGTCGTGCACCAACAAGCTGACGTCTGGTCGCTGAGAGAGCAGGCGATACTTCTTGGTGTCTTTCCTCGTGGTCATGATGATGAGGTCTTCTTCTTCAGGCACGAAGGTGAAGTTCATCAGTGAGGTATGAGGGGCGTCCCCCTTGTCGTTGCAGCTCAAGTGGCACAGCGAGGCTGACGTCAGCATCTCCTTCACCTCTGGGGGCAGAGGAGGGGTGTAGCTCTCCTCATTATCTGCGTCCGGGTTGTCTGACCTGTAGATCCCGTATAGCAGTCTGTCGGGTCAGAGACATCGAGGGAAAAGCGTCAGTGGGATCTTGCTTGTACCAGCATGCAGAGACCTTTGCTGGGCTTGTTCTGACGATCTGGACTGCATCAAGTAGTAGAGAGCTGCACATCCTAGAGCTCCAGAAGCCTGCAAACCTTTCAGATGAGAAATAATCGTAGCTGCACGGAATAGTTTCAAGTTTCTACATCAAATCAGCGACCACAAACAGATCGCTTGGTATCTTGTCCATCAACTCCCCTCCCCTCCCCTCCCCTCCCCTCCCCTCCCCTCCCCTCCTTTTTCTCCCTCCCCTTCCTTCCCTTCCCTCCCATCTCGTCCTTACAAGCACTTACAAGGCCGACTGCGGCGCCGATGGCAAGGTCCATGGTTCTGGACATTGCTGCGACCCGTTTCTCTAGGTAACAAATTGGTTGCCCGTACGCCTGAAACCTGAAATTAAGCCTAAATACAATCAATTATCCCTTAAAGCGGACTATTTCAGCGTTAGATTGATTGATATAAACCTATAAACCAGTATGCTTCTTGCTTTGTTGGCGGCGGTGCTGTCGACGGTGCTGGCGTCTGCCGAGGGTTTTCATGCTTCTCCAGGAACTTTTCGTGTTGTTGGTTGTATCATGTGAAGAGATCCTGTGAATCATGTGACGAGACAACACGTGATGTGCATGGAGGCGTGGCAACATGATTTCAGAGATGACATGATTCGTGTCCTTCGTTGAAATCTCGTGCGATTGGTCAATGACAGGAAAAATTCTCCTTCTCGTTTGTTGATACATATCAGATCTAATGCATGGGAAAACTCTCCCTCTTGTTTGTTGTTACATATCAGATTCAATTCATCCCCCCGCGGCCTAACAGTAGCGTTCAGGTTTGCTGCGCTCGAACTCCCGGTCCAATGATAACATTTGTTAGCTGACTTTGCTTGTTTTGTGACTTCTTGTCCTTCTCCAGTCCTTATCGACATCTGTCAACCAATACACTGAGAATGAGTGGCGGAGCTCCTGACAAGAAACTTCTGTTCCTCTGTGGAGACTACATGGAGGATTACGAAGTCATGGTTCCATTTCAGGCGCTCAAGAGCTATGGCATTGAGTGCGATACAGGTCAGTTCTATCAGAGCTCTTCCTTCCTTGTGAATGGCTTGTGCATGCAGTCTGTCCGGGAAAGAAGGCAGGAGATTCCTGCAGGACAGCCATTCATGACTTCGAGGGAGATCAGACTTACTCTGAGAAGAGGGTGGGAGATGAAGGTCCTTGTCAACTCTTGACGTCTTATCTCTAGGGCCATAACTTCGTCTTGAACTCTGACTTTGACGGCGTCTCGGTCAGTCACAGGAGATCAGGTCGACTGGGCTGACTCGTGACGTGCAGCATGACAAGTACGATGGCCTCGTCATTCCCGGCGGACGTGCTCCAGAGTACCTGGCCTTGAACGAGAAGGTCAGGAGGAGGAAACAGCTGCTGTAAGCAGCAGCACTGATGACAGCGCTAGGTTATTTCTCTGGTGAAAGATTTTGCCTCCTCGAAGAAACTGATCGCGTCGATCTGCCATGGGCAGCAGGTGAGGCTGTTGAAGGGCCTTGTTGATGCTGATGCAAGGAGTAGATTCTGACGGCGGCCGACGTGATCAAGGGCAAGAAGTGTACTGCCTATCCTGCCGTCGGCCCTCAGTGCAAAGCAGCTGGTGGGAGGTCAAACTCGTGTCCTGCTCTGCCCTTGAGGTTGTCATGCTTCCAGGGGCTGACTTCGTGGAGGCGAACCCCATCGACCTCGCCGTCACCGACGGAAATCTCGTCACGGCGGCAGCATGGCCAGGTGACCATGAGCTGGACTGAGCGCGCCTGTGACTGAGATGGCTGCCGATTGTTAGGACATCCCAAGTTTGTCTCTCAGATCGTCTCGCAGCTCAAGCTCACAGTGTCTGGAGCATCAGGGAAGAAGGTGATTGAGTCAGAGTGAGGAGAAGCTTCCTGCTCATGTGGATGGACTGGCTAGATCCTTGTGCTCTGCGGGGACTACATGGAGGACTACGAAGTTATGGTTCCGTTTCAAGCTCTCCTGAGGTATCCTGCGAGACTACACGTCGGAGGCAGTCACTCCAGCTCGCAGCTACGGATTCACTGTGCATGCCGTCTGTCCCGGAAAGAAGTCGGGGGATGGTAGAGGAACATTCCTGTCGTCTTTCTGAATTGACGGCTGCCAACAGTCTGCCGCACAGCCGTGCATGACTTCGAAGGCGATCAAACGTACGTTGATCGCTGCCTGCCCCGTTCCGTTGACCCTTGTATGGCAGCTACTCGGAGAAACCTGGTGACGATCTCTCGAAGGAAACTTGAACCAGGCGAGTGAAAGCGACTAGGTCATAATTTCGCTCTCAACGCCGACTTTGAGCAAGTGAAAGCGGAGGAGTACGATGGATTGGTCTCGTTGTCGTGCGCCATGACAGAGGCGACTGAACATCCCGCAGGTGATTCCCGGAGGAAGAGCTCCTGAGTACCTCGCGCTCGACGACAAGGCAAGTGGGACGAGGCTTGAGCTGTTGTTTCTGAGGTGAGCTCAAGGTCATCAAGCTCGTGCAAGACTTCGCATCCTCTAAGAAGCCGATCGCGTCCATCTGCCATGGCCAGCAGGTCATCTCAGCTCCCCTCCACCTGACCGAGACGTTGACAGCACGACAGATCCTCGCGGCAGCTGGAGTGCTCTCCGGCAAGAAGTGTACTGCCTACCCGGCTGTCGGGCCTGCTTGCAAGCTCGCGGGGGCTCAGTGGGTCGATGCCAACCCGATCGACCTGGCAGTCACCGACGGCCACCTGGTCTCTAGCTGGTGAGACCGTCGACCCCAGCAGCTGACGGCCTGCTGGGCAGGTGACGGCGGCAGCCTGGCCGGGGCATCCAGAGTTCATCAAGGAGTTTGTGAAAGTGATGGGAGTGACCGTGAGTGGTTTGACCCCGTGACCTCCGAGACGCTCAGCCTTCCAGCAGGTCGCCTGAGGAGGCTGCCCTGGGAAGTAGCGGGCCCGATTAAGTAGTTAGTCTCCTAGTGTACTGCTAGCCCGGGCCAGCCCGGCCCTCCGATCACTGAGAGTGCCTTCGAGTGTCCTGAGTCATAAACTTCCGTGACCGTCGTGAAATGGTAACTTGAAAGGCGAGTGGTAATCTAATGGGTCCAAGTGAAGCACCAGTGTAAAAGGGGAAGAATGAGGTGGACCCCGATGGGGCAAGAAAAGATGGACGGTCGGGGCGGGAGCAAGGGAGGGAGGAGGAGGAGGAGAACAGCCGGGGAGGGGGGAAAGGAGGAGAGGATAGGAGGGACATGCGCTAGACGCCTGCCTTAGGAGGGACTTCATCGCTGACTAGGAAGAAGCCGTGAAGACAGGCCAAGGATGAGTCCTAGTGACCCTCGTCAGAAGAGTATGAGGGGGGACGAAGACGAGCTGAACCTGCTGCGGTCTCTGCTCAAGAACGTTCCCCTGTCGACGGATCCGAGTGCTCTCAGCTCTGTTGTCGGCAGATATGCAAGCTTCCTGTCCTTCACTACCGATGACCGCAGTGCCATGGCGGACGATTTCTTCAAGGTGGCGACCAGTCTGGACAATCCTTGTCCTCGCTCGGTTCACACCTTTCACTGGCACCTGTGCTCGCGCAAGCATGAGTATCGCTCCATCACTCAGTACGAGAAGGTGCGAGCTCGTGCTCCGGTGCATGTGGAAGAGATGGGGCAGCTGGTAGCCGAGGCAAGGTCGGCGAAGCCCCAGCACTCGGAGGAGCAACGAATAGAGGCGATGGCTTGCTTGGCGAACTTCCTGGACGAGATCTGTCATGCAGCAGATCTGGCAGAAGACTTGTATGACGAGGTAGTTCAATCAAAACACTTCTCTCCCTTCATCCGAGGGAAATACGCGGCGTTTCTCGCTCGGAACAGGTCTTGATTAATCAAGGTTTTCTGAACTTGACCGAAGATTCAGGCCGGACCAGCATGAAGCAAGTCTCTATCATTTCAGAACAAGTCTCGAGACTGAGCCGGGAAACGTTGAGTGCATGCTGGACTTCGCTACGTTCCTCTCTCGGTCGGACGTTCAAACGGCGGAGAGGCTGTTCAAGGATGCCATGAACAAGGAACTGCGATTGTACGCTGCTGCTCCGGCATGACGCTTGCAGCAGATCTCTGATGATGCGAGGATCATGGGCGAGTATGCTTTCTTCCTCGAGCAAGTCCTTCACGACCCAGACGCCGCTGAGTCCATGTACAAGCGATCGATCAACCAAGATTCACAGAACTCGGGGGTGCTTGCCCGGTATGCAGAGTTCTTGAGCAGGTGAGTCCTGTGGGAGGAGATGCTAGCGAGCTCACGATGTGAAGTGTGAGGCAAGACATGGAAAGCGCGTCCGAGGTCTACCGTCGTTGTCACTTCGCTGACCCTCAGAACGTGGTTGGGCTCCTTGGCTTGGCCTCGGCCCTGCTGCAGGTGCAGGACAGCGATGGAGCGGAGGTTTGACGTGCGGTAGAGGAGGAAGGTAGTGACTGCTGGGGCTGCAGGAGCTGTATCTCAAGGCAATCAGCTTGTACCCTTCCGATGCCGTCGTCTTGGGCAGTTACGCTGAGTTCCTGTCCAACGTTGGCGGTGATCGCAGTCAGTCGGGAGAGTACTACAGGCGAGCCATCGAGGCTGACCCGCACGATGCGACGAATCTCAGCAACTACGCGATTTACCTCATGGACGGCGACGAAAACTCGCAAGAAAATGCGGAGAAGTACCTGAAGATGGCGGTGGAGGCGGACAGTTCAAACGCGAGGATCCTCGGCCGGTATGCCGTCTACCTCGAACGAGTACGACAGAATATGGATGCAGCGGAGGAGTACTACAAGCTCTCGGTGGGAGTTCAAGGCAGCAGCGGCCTCAACCTTGCCTACTTCGCCTCCTTCCTCTCCAACGTCCGGGGTGACAAGGACAGGGCGCTCGAGCTACTCGAGCTCGCGGTCAGCAACGAGCCTGAGAACCCGATCGTGCTCTCCATGCGAGCAGATTTTGCGGAGAACGTGCAGAGAGACATGAAGGAGGCGGAGAAGTTCTACAAGCGAGCCCTCGCCCTCGCTCCTGATAGCGCCGACGTGCTGGGGGCTTATGCGAACTTTCTGGCGCACTCGCAGCAGGACTTGGAGGCAGCGGAGGAGATTTACTGCAGGGCCATCGACGCGGACGGGACGAGGGCGGAGAACCTTGGGGGGTACGCGAACCTGCTGATGAGCCTCTGCAGGCAGGGAGAGGACATGGCGCCATTCATCGAACGTGCTGACAACCTCTACCGCCGAGCGGTGATCGCCCGCCAGCTCCCCTCCTGCTGGACCCTGACGACTTCTCAGGTCGACTGCGCCCCTGCTGATGCTGGGCTGATCGCCAACTTTGCGGTGTTTCTGGGGTACGTGCGATGTGACTACGAAGAGGCAGAGAAGATGTTCGAGCGATCGCTGGAGCTCTGCCCCGAGGACGTTGACTTCCTCCTCAACTTCGCGCATTTCATGGAGACTTGCAAGAAGGACGACGACAAGGCTGAACGCTTGTTCACCAGGGCACTGGCAGCCTGCCAGCACAAAGACGCTCGCGTGCTCGCAAGCTTCGCGCTCTTCCGCTCGCGCACTCGTGAGGATGCGATCGATGACAACCGTCTCCTCTTCGAGCAGGCCGTTGCTGCAGATCCAACTAACGGGCCCCACCTGGCCGCCTTCGCTCTCTACCTGTCCTCCGTCCTAGACGAGCACGAGCAGGCCGATGCACTCTTCCGTCGCGCAATCCAGCAGGACCCCAGGAACGGTGACATCCTCGGCTCGTATGCGTCGTTTGTTGCTGAGGTGCAGCACGACAACGACTCGGCGGAGGTCTACTACAAGCGAGCGATCGAGGCGGATCCCTTCAACGCCGTCACCCTCGGCAAGTTCGCCTACTTCCTTCACTCGGTGCGAGGCGACCACGTCATGGCGGACGCGCACTTCCAGCGGGCGGTGCAGTGCGGCAACAACGCGGACATCCTAGGGAACTACGCATCCTTCCTCGAGACTGAGAAGGAGGATCATCAGCTAGCCGAGCACTACTACAAGCTGGCGATCCAGGTGGACCCGCGTCACGCCTACAACCTCTCGAGCTACGCGCGTTTCCTCGCCTACAACCAGCACGACCATGACGGCGCGAACCAGAACTTCCTGCGAGCCATCGAGGCGGACCCGTCGGACTCGGCGGTGATCGACTTTTACGTGGACTTCCTTCAGAGCATCCGAGACTCGGACCCCAACGTCCATGGCTACTTCAAGTCCGCCCTCTCCCTCCTCCCCCAGTGCTCTCAAGTCCTCCAGGTAATCTCTCCTTCCTCCTCCTCCCTCGCCATCCCCATCCCTCGATCTCCTCGTTCCACGTCTTCCCCTCGCCTACTTATCCTCGCCGGCTCCTCAGCGTTCTTACTTCCATTGCAGGCCTACGGCGAATACCTGGAGCAGGTCCTCAACGACGCAGAGCAAGCGCAGAGATACTACAAGCTAGCATCTGAAATCGTGATTCTCTGAAGTAGCGACATGTAGAATGAAGAAGCAAAGAAGCTGACTGAAAGTTCACCAACACAAAGACAAGCACGTCAAGGAGGAGGGTACAGGATCGCTTTAGCCTTGTGTCTATTAAATCTAGAAAACTTCATGACTACCATCAAGGCCCGCAAGCTCATTGAGCTCATTCGACAGTTTCGCCGAGGACAGAACCGATGTCGTTGAAGGCGAACGGCATGAACTTGTAACCATCTCCGAAGTAGAACTTGTTCATGAACTCAACCCAGTGGAGACGGAGGGCATGCAAGAATGCCGACAAGCTTTCCATACCCATGAGAACTCCGACGGTAAAGCAAGCCCATGCCCCGATGCAGATGAAGATCATCATGGTGTCGGCAGACTCCAGGCCGATCTCAACCACCGTCTTCTCCCAGAAGACCTCCGAGAGCTGAGCGTGAGCCAAGGAAAGAGCCCACAGACGCAGGTAGGAGGCGGTGTTGGAGATGCAGCCCAGCACGTACTCGATGGTGTGAATCATCTGATGCACCATCTCCTCCCCAAAGTCAAACTCCTCGCCATGTCCGTGTCCATGTCCGCCATGTCCTCCAGCTGGTCCGAGCTCCGTGTCGTGCTCATCCTCGAGGCGGTGACCCATCTGCGACTGCTTCTCGTGCTCCCACTTAAGGATGTAGGGCTTTGGCAGCAGGAGGCAGGGCACAGCAATCACCGCACAGAGGATCAGGAAGACCTGAAGGCCGCCTTGTCCGGGGATGATCTGGTTCTCGACCGGGACGTTTCCAATGTCCATGAACATCTTGATGAGCGAGTCGAGGAGGGAAGGAGGAGACTGCTTCCACATGACACAACCAGCGGCCGACGACTCGCAGGCCCTCGAGTTGAAGATGGTCGGGTCGATGAGAGTGTTGTTGCCGAACACGTTGGACTCCACGATGAGCCTGTCCTTGTACTTGTAGACGGCACAACCAGCGGTGGGAGCGTCGCTCTTCATGCACCACATGTGACTCGGAAGTTTTGACAAGCTCGAGATGGCATTCCTGCTGGGGTTGAAGGGGGGAGTCCAGCAGGGCACATTGCTCAGGTCGTTCATGCAGTACCTCTGGGGGATCGACACCACGAAGTCGTTGTTGACCACGAAAGTCGCATCCCAGTTGGTTGTCCACTTGGTGAAGATCAAGATGCAAAGATAGCCGAAGATGGAATTGATGAACACCATCTCAGGGATGTACACCCAGTACAAGGTGACCCAGTCCTACACAAACTCGTCAGGAGAGCACGAGGCAGCATGCTCAAGTCACCTGAAAGTAGAGGGTGTTCATGAGCTTAGTGCAAACTCCGGCCACCATCTGAATGACTCCAGCAATGATCGCGAACTTCATCTTGAACGAATTGGCTGCATTGAGCTTGTTCGAGGTGTGAGCCCAACCAGGGTCAGTTCCAAAGGGGTAGGGCTCCCAGGAAACCTGAACCCACTGTCAGAAACCCTCCTGTCGAAGATCCAGCTGCGCATCTGCGCTTCACAACGCACCTCGGCTCCAGTGGATTTGCCATGGTCGAAAGCTTCGTTGATGTTGGTTCTCAGCCACTTCTGTGTTTGCTTCGATGGGTCCGTGCCTACAGGAAGCCGAGTGACCCATCAAGGACGCGCATTCCCAACTGTCCCTCACCTGGGATCGCCATGCAGGATCCATCCTCAGCCATCTCACCAGAGCACCTAGGAGGAGAACATGAGTCGGACAACAACATCGCCCACGACGTAAAGTACCAGGCGGTCGATCCCCAGATTTCCAAAGGGACCGCAAACAATTCGTTGTAGATAAAACCAGAGTAGGTCGCAAAGATACCCATAAGAAGGATGTTGTATCTGCCCTTGTACACCGTTCCAAACATTTCATCCTTGGCAAGGTATGCGAGCTTCTTCTCATAAAGAACCAAAAGCAACCCGCACAATGCCATGATGAAGCCGTGGCCAATATCACCGAACATCACACCGAACAGGAAAGGGAAGGTAATGAAGGAGAAGGTTGCCGGATTGAACTCTTGGTACCTCGCCATACCATACGCGTCAACGATCGACTGCGTACCCTTGGCGAACACAGCGTTGCGGAAGAATGTGGGGGGAGTTTCCCTACTCTTCACAACATTGATCACGGTCTGCACTGACGCCTGGCTCATCGTGGTTCCCTTGCGAAGTGCCTCCCGGATATTGTCCATGTCCTCTGTCGGGCACCAGCCCTCAGCAATGAGGCACTTGTGGGTAACGTCATAGTTGAACATGTTGAGAGTGTAGAAGATGGCCTTCTCTCTCATGACAAAGTCGAACCATTCATCGATGTTGCCCTTCACGTCTCCAAGTTTGCGGATTCTGAACTCGCGGGTCTTGTTCAGGACTGTTTCCATGTCCTTCTTCTTATCATGAACTTCGTTCTTCAGGGTGTCTCTTTGAGCCCTCTCCTCTGGGAGCTTGTACTTGGTTGCACCATACGAGTCACAAATCTTCTCGATCTTAATGCGAGACCTCTCTCCAGAGAAGAAGATGACGAACACAGACTTCTGGATTGGTTCACCCGTGTTTGGATCAGGGAAAGGATCGTTGATGTCTTCATGACGGAGAAGCATGTTGCCGCGAGTTGCACGGAACAGGGTCAGCGACAGGTCATGCACATTCTCGCTGGGAATGCAACCAGCGATGTGACCGAGCATGCTCTGCGATCTAGTCCCCATCATGCCATCTTCCATGGCAGTCATCTCAACCGTGCCATCCTCACGCGTCGAAGGAGCGGTGAATGCAACCCCACGGCTGTAAGCTGAAGAGAACCAGTCCTCCCCCTTCTCGAGCACAATGCTGTGCTCTCGGAGCTCGTTGTCTTGCTTCTGAAGCTGGGTGAACGCAGAGCTATGCTGTTTCAGCTCCTTCTCTAGCTCAATCAGACGGTCGTGCAGCTCGTGAAGAGTTGGAAGCCTACTGCCAGCATCGATCTTGCGAATGCCCTTCTCCTTCGCCATCATCTCCTTGAGAAATCTCATGATACGGAGCATGTCGTCACACCGACGAACATCTGAGACGAACAGTCGCTGGAAAGCGCTCTTGTCTGAGTTCAAGTCCTTGAACTGAATGGCGCCATCGCCATCATTCAAGCTCCCCAGCGCCTGCAAGGTGTCATGTGCAGCTTCACTTTGGATGAACAGCTGCACAAGCTGCATTTCTTCAGAACGGAACTGCGACATTTTGAACTGATTCTCTGGAAGGTTTCCCTACGAAGACTAGGAAATTTGATCTGTCCTTCCACAGATATCAAAGAAATATCCTTCTGGTCAAGGATACAAGACTCGCGAATCACAAATCCCGCAAAAACCTGAAAGGGGCTCGTCAACCTTCGATCATATCTTGCACAACCTCAACGCTCTCGAGGTGCTTCGACGCACATTTATAGATAGTTTCCTACCTCTCAAAATCTACATTTTGTCCTTTTACCCAGTCTCACTGAATCTGATTGATCACCCGCCAGCCAGCATTCCTTTCTAATACTCCTGACACGCACTTGCTCCATTCTCTCCTCCTCTCTTCAATCTCCTCGCTTGCGCCTCGATTCTGTATACAGCTTCTATCGCTCCTCCTTCATGTCTAAATGCTTCCTCCTCCTTCCCAAGCTCCTCCCTTCTCCCCCTTGACCTCTTCCTCTCATCATTATCCAGCGCCTGCGGCCACTACCCCCCACCCCCCACTACTCCACCCCCATGAAAAAAAATTCTATCACCCCCCTCCCCCAATTGCCAGCCCACCTCACCCCATGACACTTGAGGATTGTTCACCCCACCCTCAAATTCATCATCACAAGAACTAATTGTGCACCACTGAGCACCCTGTATCAACATGACCCACCCCACTAAATTATTCGCGCATGCTCTGCACCCACCCCAAAGTTCCATAGACAAGTTTAGTTAACACACACTAAGCAGACCACAGTCTATCACCCGTGGTTTTTCGGTCCTACACGGGGGTACATCAATTCTGAGTGAGAGTCTGGTACTAAAAGGAGACGTAGAAAGCCATCGACCAGGGGGTGGGGTAGGGTAGGGTCAGTGTCTTAGGGAGTTGACTGTACAACTACCCCACCCTGTCTCCTCAAACAGAACATGTAGAATGTACCATAGACCGGGTAGGGTCTCAGAAGAGGGTGTAGAGCACATTAGGGTGGGGTACAAAGCTTCAAGGCTACCCCAACAAATCTGCAGAAAAATTTGCTAAATATATGGGTGGGTGCAAATGATAGTGGGGTAGGGGTAAAAAGAAAGAACCGTTACTTTGGCAACCTCACAAATAACTGTTTGGAGCTTACTGACTTGTGGCCGGGCCCGGGAAATTGCCGCGGGAAGCCGGGTGGGATCTGAGTGGGGAGGTGGGTCGAAGGGATGAGGCCTCTCGCTGCATGGTCGGAGGACAGGCGCTGGGTTGCTCGGCTTGGCCTAGAGTCCCTGCACACGCTCCTGCGCTAGACCTGCTACAACATAGAGGTTACCTCTAGACCCTTGTTACCTCCTGATTCGAATGTCTGAAGCCTCTTCGTCTTTGATATAGTCGCTGTGTTCCGTCATATCCCGTTGACTGTTTGTTGGTATTTTATGGCCGAATCTTGAATGGGGCCGATGTTTTTCAAGTCTTTCGGATCTTGTTTCCATATCTTCTATAGTTTTGGATGAAAAATCTCAAGGACCATGGTGAACGGTTGCAACAAATTTTCGTGGCATTTGATGTGGATTTCACTGTTTCTTATCGGAGGGAGTTGTGACAGAGCTGCACTAGAGAGCCAATCAAAATTGTTCAAGTTGTCACAGAATTCTACTGTTGCAAGATTCAAAAGGAAACCGCATATTGATGAGAATACTCTGTTCATTGGTCAGATATCGTACAACGCAACCAAAAATGATCTAGAGAGATTTTTCACAAAGAAGGGATTTCAGGATTTCAAAATACGCTGGCTTACAGACAAGAAAACGAAGACCAATCGTGGACTCGCATTCATCCAATTTGCGCAGAAGAGCGAGGTCCCGAAAGCCCTCAAGCTTGACTGCTGCCTCTTCTTCGGCCGAAGGTTGAGAATCGAACGAACAGCTTCAGGTGGTGGCAACAAGTTGAAGAGGAAGAATCGTATCAAGAAGGCAAAGGCAGAGCACGAGGAAGGGAGGAAACAGCTTGTGTCAGGCATCATTGACAGGGTGTTCGCAAAGAGAGATTCCAGGCGTTTCAACAGTTCTGAGATTACAAAACTTTTGACGGATGAAAGTGTGCACGAGAGCCGACGCCCTTCTGTCAAGAATGCTGGTGAACAGTTCCTTTCTAAAGTGTACATGGAACGTGGGGAGGTGGATGATGAAATCGTTCAATTTCTTGCGTCTTTACCAGAGAAACTTGCTTCGAGATCGGTACGTACTTGCGCTCGCCTCGATGTGCGGGGTGTAGAAAACAGAGCAGCATACGCAATGGGAGTGATCAAGCATAAGCTACGAAAGGCCGAAAAGAAATCGAAGAAGAAAAGACAAGTCACTGAAGCTACAAGCCATGCTGAGCCAAAGATCTCAGAGGCTGCCACGGATCCCTATTCCTAGCAAAGATCTCTATCCCTAGCACTCGCTTGTTCATCCGTGAGCGAATAAATGTTTGCAAACCGAACAGAAAGAAAGAAGACGGAGCTTGAAGCCAGTCACACGAAAATCGGGTTAGGAGAGAGAGAGCATTCATTGCGCTCTCCCCTCCTCGCCGCATGAAGGCCTGTAGAGCATTCAAGAGTTTGTCAGGGATGTGCGATGACAGGTATGGCAGGGAGTGTATTTGATGTCAGGGTGGAGGTGCTACGGGTGGGGTGGTGATGATACCATGTGGGTGGGGTAGGATGATCCGGTGGCACAGCCAAACCTCTCGTAAAAATATTTCATACATACGAAACATATTGAAATTTAAAGTTCATTTTTCCCAAAAATTTGAAGCAAATCAAATATGTAAGGGGTGGGGATGAATTTTAGAAGGGGTAGGGGTGAAAAGATGATAGGGTGGGGCTAGAAGTGGAGCTTTGGAGCTGCCTTGGTGAAGGCGCCGACGATGGCAGTGCATGGAGGTGTGCAGGGGAGAAGAGGAAGAGAGGAGAAGCAGATAGAAGCAGGCTGCTGGAAATGATTCTTTCACATACTTCAGGCGAGTATTGATCTTGCCATCAGCAATTCTCCTGTTTACTTGAGAACAAAAGCGGAACTTCCCTCGGAATTTTTAAAGTGACCTGTCCAGTCATAGTTGCTTTATCTTTGGAAGATGACGATTTCTGACTGAAAGAGTATTGCTTATACGAACAATTCTGATGTCACTAACCCTGTAAGATATTGTTGATGATAACTTTGGCTATTCACAAGTTTGTCTTGTATGGGAATGCGGAATAATGCAGAGAGCCAAGGCAGTTGGCTCGCACGACGAGGCGTTTGACGACAGGCTTCCTAGGACGATCCAATCATCAGAACATTCATACCTCTCCGTATTCAAGCATTCTACGGGACTCGAACCCAGAGATGCCAATCTAAACAAAGCTAAAATGGAGCGGAGCGGGAATGACCAAATGTGTTCGAATGGTTACGACTCCAAGATGTTGAATGATGATTATTTTGAGTCGACTTTTGGGTCAACACCAGTGGATACTCCCAATCGTATTGATGCTGAATTTTGTTCATCCATTCGGTACGATAACACTCCATTGAGTTCAATCGATTTGATTGAAATGCAGGAATGACCCTCTTTCCGCTGTATTTCGCAATGATACGACATTCAAAGCTCAAGATGATAGCTCCTCAGGTGAGAACTTTCTCGTAGATGATATAGATGTCTGATGGTTGTCTTAGATTGTGATAATTTTCTGGGAAAGAGAATCAGCTCCAAAGATGCAGCAGAATCCCAAGACGACGTCGAAGTGCCGAACAAGCGGATGAAGCCATTATTTCAGCCCATGCAGGACAATGGCAGTGAGATCGAGTCTGCTGCCTCTAAATGGTTTGCTGAAGGCACAGCCATAGAGGTGGAGTTCGAGAGCGAATGGTGGGAGGCAAACATACTCGAGGTTCAGGGCGACCTGGTCTTTGTGCACTACGTTGGAGGCTTGGACGATGAAGATGAATGGATAGAGAAGAATAGCGGAAGAATAAGGATTCCCGTCGAGTTCGAATATGATGGAGACTGGTGGGACGCTTTCATCGTGCGACAGAACAACGAGCAAATCCTCGTGCAGTTTGAATGTGGGACAGAGGAAGACACCGAGTGGGTTGACTCAAATAGTGATCGAATCAGACACAGACAAGATTTGTCCATCAAAAAGGTCAGCCAAAAGCAGAGCAAGCCGAAACACCCCTCCATTCGGAGTCGTGAGCCCAAGACTAGGGTCGCTTCAACATCAAAGAGGGTCAAAAAGGGTAAAGTGAATTCCCGCAAGGGGTCAAAAACGAGTTCCAGAAGCAAGCAGTCAGTCGATATGGACAATAGCAGTGAAGAAGAGGAAAAGATGGTCGACATAGATTCTTTGGACCGTGAAGGGCAAGAGCAGTGCAAGTACAACATCGATAAAATACTGGGCATGGAAATGAAGAAGCAACTGTCTGAGAACAATGAAGAGATTGAAGTTGCATTGTTTTTGGTCAAGTGGCGAGAAAAAAGTTACCTGCATACATCTTGGGTCACTGAAAACGATATCTTGGCTGAAGGAGGGAAAGTGAGATTGAATAATTTCATGTCGAAATGGTTTGATTCCATCCAATTCGAAGTAGAGGACCGCGATGGGAATTACTTTGATCCCGCGTTTACGGAGGTTGAAAGGATCGTCGCCTCTCGAATCGTACAGATTGATTCTGGAGAAGAAGCCTTGGAATATTTCTGTAAGTGGAGGAATCTTCCGTACTCCGAGTGCACATGGGAATGGAAAGAAAGCATCATTGAATCCATTGGCTCTGTTGTGGCAGAGGAAAAGATCGCTCAGCACAACAAGTTCAGCAAGCCTCCACCAAGGGACAAGAGGAAGAGGGAGAAACGACCACCGGTAGAGCGAATCTGCAGAGAAGATGAAATCAAGGAATACATTAGTGAATGTCAGTTCAAAGATCAAAACGTTTTGCGAGAATATCAGAAAGAGGGTGTTAACTGGCTGATTTTTAATTGGTATCAGAGGAGGGGGTCGATTCTTGCAGATGAGATGGGTTTAGGTAAGACTGTGCAAGCCGTTGGCTTCTTGGAATGGCTCTTCCAATGCCGGAATCGAACGGGACCATTCCTGGTTGTGGCTCCTTTGTCAACCATCCCGCACTGGTTGAGAGAGTTCGAAGCTTGGACAAACCTGAATGCAATCGTTTTTCACGGAAACCAAGATTCTAGGGAAATCCTCATCAATCATGAATTTTATTACTATGACGAAAAGGGCAAGCGAATCAACGACTGTTACAAATTCAACGTGTTGATCACGACCTGGGAAATCGTGATGAAGGAAGATGAGCGCGGTAACAAAGCTAATCTGGCTGACATGCCGTGGGATTGTGTGATAGTCGATGAGGCACATCGATTGAAGAACAAAGATAGCAAGACCTTTACAACACTCAAATCCTTCAAGACAATCCCTCCTTGCACGAATCCCGAAAACGAAGCCCATTGTATCTTGATGACAGGTACCCCGCTTCAGAATAACACGGAAGAATTATGGTGTCTTTTAAATTTCTTGGCACCAAAGCAATTTGATGATGTTGACGCTTTCTTAAACAAGTTCGGCGTGGTGGAAACTGCCAATCAGATCATGCAACTTCGCAAAGAGTTGAGACCGTACATGCTCAGAAGGCACAAGGAAGACGTCGAGCGTTCTATCCCACCGAAAGAAGAGATCATAGTTGAGGTGGAGATGTCACAATTACAACGGACGACCTACAAGTCGATCCTTGAACGTAACTTCGAATGGTTGAAGAGGGGGGCAGCTGGAGTTCAAGTTCCAGCTCTTCGAAACGTGGAAATGGAGCTGCGGAAATGCTGCAATCATCCATACCTCGTTGATGGTGTTGAGGAACAAGTCAGAAGCCGATCAACTGCAAGTGACCCAATGCATGAACTGATCAGACACTCCGGTAAAATGGTCCTGCTGGATAAGATGCTTCCGAAACTCCGCGCTGAGAAACACAAGGCATTGATTTTCAGCCAGTTCATAAGGGTGTTGGACATGCTCGAAGACTACATGCGTGCCAAGAGTTTTCCCTTTGAGCGAATTGATGGCAGGATACGGGGAAACGCTCGACAGAGCGCTATCGATCGATACAACGAACTTGGGGAGCACAGATTTGTGTTTTTGATATGTACAAAGGCTGGAGGCATCGGGATCAATTTGACAACAGCAGACACTGTTATAATTTTTGATAGTGATTGGAATCCACAGAATGACTTGCAGGCTCAAGCTCGCTGTCATCGTATCGGGCAAACACGAGAGGTTAAGATTTACAGATTCATAACGGCTAAGACGTACGAGCGCCGGATGTTCGAGAAAGCATCGCAAAAGCAGGGGTTGGAGAGAGCGGTCATCTCCGGCAAGCAGATCGCAGGAGTGAAGAGAACCTCGAAGGAAGAGAAGAAAGAGTTGGAACGACTTCTCAGACACGGAGCATATGCGCTCTTCAACCAAGATGCCGAGCAAGAAAGCAATCGTTTCAACGAGGAAGACATAGAATCGATCTTGAGCAGCAGAATCACCAAAGTAGTTGACAAACAAGACAGAGGGTGTAACACGTTTTCTACCGCAAGCTTTGTCCCCAAGGCTGCAGAGGAGGCAGACTTGGACTACAACGATCCGGATTTCTGGGATAAGCTGATGCCTGAAGCAGAGAAGAAGCTTACAGAAGGTGACGAGCCCTGTGCTTGAGTCCGTTGAGCTGATACCTTGACCCTGCAGGTGAGAATGAAAAAGAGTTCGGGCCGAGAAAGAGGACAGGAGTGGAACGCCTGGGCTTCGTGAGTTACGCTGACATGGCCGAAGGCTTCGTGCAACCTGACGCTGATAGCACGAAGGCGAAGGAACCCAAGTCGAAGATTGCAGATAAGGAGAAGAAAAATTCTTCTTTGCAGTCTTACGCTCAAGTCTTGCCTGGTGCTCACCCGCCGGCGATTTGGATCCCAAACGTCCCTCCGAATCCGCACCGCAGTATCATGTATATAACCCCAGTGGCACGGCAGAAGTGGGAGCATGACTTGCAGAACTTCTGCGAGTCGAAAGGAATTTCTCTCCGCAAGAACCCGATCATTCTCGGGAAGCCTGTGGACCTCTGTATTCTTTTCCACGAAGTGATGGCTCTAGGAGGATTTCAAAAGGTCCAGGAGATGCGAAGATGGCGGGACGTGGCTCTAGCCGTGGACATTCCAGTCTCGCACTCCATGGCTGAATCGCGACTGAAGGACAACTACCTCAAGTACCTCCATCACCTAGAGGCTGACATCAACCGTTGGCACCTCCCTCCCCAAGATGTCGTTAGGCATCCTGTCCTCTCGGGATGGGCTTACCAGCTCTTCGGCCCCCCGGCTGCCGGGCATGTAGGAACGACAGCGAGTCAGGTCATCGCCATGCCGGCCATCTATGCCGGGTACGCGCAATCGACTTACAAGCAGCCTGAGATTCAGTACCCCAACTTCTCGTCTGTGCTCAACCAGGCACCGGTGCAGGCCCCGAGCCAGGGGAGCAGCCAGGAGGAGGAGAAAGTGAAGCCCTACCCTACCGATGACGAGACCCGCATGCGATGGTTCGCGTCCTGGAAGGAGCTGATCACGAGCAAGTCAGAGGAGCCGTTCAAGTTTCCCAGCGCGGGAGGGAGAGAGCTTGACTTCTACCAGCTCTTCCACGAGGTCAAGTGCCTGGGAGGTTTCGAGGCAGTTGAGCGAGGGAGGATGTGGCGGCAGGTGGCGATCGCCATGAAGATCCCCAAGTCAAAGTCATTCGGCATGATCGCCACGCGGCTGCGCGACAACTACCTGCGGCACCTGCACCCGCACGAGGACGTGCTGCCTTTCGAGGGCCGGCTGGTCTCCAAGGACGAGTACCTGGGGCAGGAGACGAGCGACACCTTGTCGCCCTACCCGTCGGCTGCCTCGATCTTCATGGAGGGACTCAAGACGGGAGGCATCGACGACTACCCGCCCGAGCCCGAGCCTGAGCAGGCGTCAGAGGTTGACAACTCGGTGGTGTCAGAGTTCGAGGCTCTCTATGGCACAGAGGAGCCGGCGGCCATGCTGAGGCCTAGCAGGCCGAGGACCTACGACTCGTTCCTGCGCAGCGAGCACCCGAGCAGCACGCAGGAGAACTATGCAAACATCCTCGCGTCGAGCTTCGCCAACAGCTTGCTTGACAGTAACCCTGCGGGACGAGGACGGCTGGTGGGCAGCAACCACATGTCATAATATTTTGTGTTCATCTCATTGAAACTTCTTATTCCATCCTTTTCTCCTCCTTCCTCGTTCCCCTCCTCCCAGCTGTTCCCCTCCTCCTCTACATCCTGTTCGGCATCCCCACCATGCCAGGTAGCTGCGGCTGCGTGTCGTCGGGCGTGTTGAGAGTGACGAAGGGGCTGAGCTTGTCAGCTGCAAGAGGGTCAGACATGAACTGAGCAGCCGCAAACTCGCCGAGGTAGAGAACTTCACGAACGGCAGCTTCCACACTGTGCGGGAGGTCAGGAGGCATAGGAGGAGGAATAGGAGGAGGCATAGGGGGAGACATGAAGCAAGGAGACATGGTCGTGGTGACATCTAAAGTGATTGACCTCGGCATGGTGTCGTCCAGGCTCTGCGCCAGCACCTGCTCACCGGAGTTAGCACGAGGAAGCGACAAGGAAGAGAAGGAGGCGCCTCGACGAGGAAGATGTTGTCTACTGGGTTCCCTTGCACGTCAGTCTCGAGCTTGGGTGTCTGACATGCGCAGCAGAAGTCAACCTGGTGGACAAGAGGAGGAGCAGCTTTACCTGTTGTGTTTGTGTCTTGTTGGCTTCAGAGGACCTGCGGGCGCTGAGGATCATCAACATCAAGATCAGATCTCACTGCAGCTTGTGCAGCTCCGAGATCATCACGGAGCATCTATCTTGAGCCCCGAAGAAGAATTGCTGCTTGCGCGTCAAGGCAGCGGCAGAGACAGCATGCACGACACCTGGCCTGATCGGATAAAGACAAAATCGGTCTCGAACCCAAGAAGCTTGAGCATCTCATCGCAAGTGTGACCGACGTCTACCTGCTCACAGGTATCATCTCTCCTCCCTCCCCGCCTTCCTCTCACTTCCACTACTCTCCGAATGGATGGCTTCGGTAAAGGACGTTTCCTGCGCTCTACGTCAGTCGCGGAGGAGGAAGGGGGAAGGGGCAACCCGTCCTCAGACTTGAGGAACTTCTCCAAGTTGGCAGGGAACGGAACCTGTACAGAACTTCACGAGGTGAAAGGGATGTGTCGACGCAGTCACAGGATCCCCGACGCACAGCAACGACATGGGTTGCACAAATTTGTCTGTTCCTTGGAGCTCAAAGTCAGCAGGAAGAGAAGGAGCAGGAGCAGGAGCCGGAGCCGGAGCAGGAGCAGGAGCAGGAGCAGGATCAGGATCAGGATCAGGAGCAGGATCAGGAGCAGGAGCAGGAGCAGGAGCAGGAGCAGGAGCAGGAGCAGGAGCAGTAGCAGGAGCAGTAGCAGGAGCTGGAGCTGGAGCAGGAGGAGCCGGAACCTGATTCGTTTGTCGATGTTTTTCCCAGTCTGACTCTGAGCTGGTAGCTGCTGCGAGTGGTGGAGGCTCCTTGAGAAGGCCCTTGAGGAGCTGCGCGATAAACCGACTCGCGATGCAGGAGCTTCTGCTCGGTGAGACCAGCGATGCCGCGACAGGCATGCATGAGCTGCGACAGTCAGTCAGTCGGTCGGTCGGTCAGTCAGTCGGTCAGTCAGTCAGTCAGGAAGGAAGGAAGGAAGGAAGGAAGGCAGACTAACCTGCTCATACATCAGTCGCTTGTCCACCAGACCGACGAGGGTCGCTTGGATGCTTCCTCCCTGTAGACGGTCACCCACCTGCTCCTCCTCCTCCCTCAACTCACTCGCTGGTTGTGCACTGGTGCCGTGGGATTGAGCGAAGCCATTCGGGGCTAGTGCATAAATCCTGCGATGAAGCATTAGATACCTCCCTTTTCTTACCCCCCCCCCCCCCTCCTCCTCCTCCTCCTCCTCCTCCTCCTCCTCCTCCTTCCTCTTGCCTCCTATAGCTCTCTGTTCGCCCTACATTCCTACCTCCTTCTCCTTCTCCTCCTCCTCCTCCTCCTCCTTCCCCTCCTCCTCTCGGTCGCCTCTCCTCCCTCCCTCCCTCTAGCTAGTCTCGTTATTGCTGTCCTCTAAAATACTGAGGCGAGCTTGTAGTGAATGGCGGCCATGGCGACGCCGGGTCGACTGACGCTCATGCTCGTGTTGCTGAGCAGCGGAGGAGGAGGACATGCATGGACGAGTGTCGTACACAGGACAAAGCGAGCTCCTTGCCATGCCGCCATGTGCGATATGAAGATGCAGCAGCAGCAGCAGCAGCAGCAGCAGCAGCAGATTCAGAGCATGCTAGATGTAGTAGAGCAGTATCCTTCTGTCTCCTTCTCGCCTCTCCTGGACTTTTCTCCCTCACTCCGCTCGTTCGTGCGGACAGGGAAGACCGGCAGAGGAGAGGAGCTCGCGACCATCCCTCAGCGCCACTGCCTTCAGACGGACATAGGACGTGACTTGCGTTCCTCCCATGTCGACCTTGCAGTGAAGCTCGCGAACGAGGGCATGGAGCTGGAGGGGGTAGTCGCGCATGCGCCCGATCTACCCTACACATGGTCGCAGCAAGAGATCGCGGAGCTGCAGTGGCCTGACATCCAGCGAAGGCTGGAGGAGGAGAAGGTCTGGATGGAGGAGAAGCTTGCGGATCCTGCAGTTAGCACCATTCCTCGGGCAACCATGGAGCCATGCTTCGCCATGGCGCGAAGTTTCAGCTACGTGGCTGCAGGGAAACTTTACTTCGCTCCTGTCCTGGCGCTCTTCCAGCGAACGGCCCCCAAGGGCTCGAGGGTGGAGGGGAGAGGGGAGCGCTTGGTCTTGACATCAGACGAGGGGGAGGAGGGGGAGCAAGTCAGAGTCAGCCTTGGGTGGATCTCCAACGACGATGTCCTGTGCCATCACGGTTGTGCGTACGAGAGTCTCGAGTCAGATGCTATCCTCCTCTCTCGCGCTCAAGTCGACCTCGCCCTCTCCTCCTTCTTCTCATCCACCCCGCAGCACCTCAAGGTGAAGCAGGACGAAGGTAGCTCTTCTACATTCCACCTTCCTCCTCCTCCCCTTGAGACTTCTATACTCTAATATCACCCTTCAATCGGCTTGCTTGTTGCCGTCTTCCATCCTCCTCTTCCCCCTTCTCCACCCCCCCCCCCTCCTTCTCCCCTTCCTCCTTTTCGCATTCATGATTCCCAACACTCACGCTGAGCTAGTGATGGCGGCGCTTCGCCGGTACAGCTACATCTCCGAGGAGGAGCAGGAAGACTACGCCATCTTCCCCGGCGGGTACGCGAGTGACGGGCTAGGCATGCTGCTGCAGGCGAAGTGTCTGCTGGACGAGGAGCTGGAGGCCTTCAAGGTCCAGGGGTGTGCGTTGAACATCGGAGAGACGGTTCCTTTCTCCCGCGACCACGAGACGCGCGTCGGTCACGCGCTGATCGAGCTCTGCCAGCAGCTGCTCTCGTCCTGCCCGACTAGCCTGCAAGAGGACGCCAAGACGCTGAAGGCGATGGGAGAGCGTTCGGAGACCCAGGAGGAGAGGAGAAGGAGAATCTGTGTGGTGTACCGGATGAGCAGGAAGAATTACCTCCATCAGACCTTGGATCGATGCTACCAGTGGGTGAAGAACCCGACAGCAACCGTATGTTCTTCTTCTCTGCCTCTCTCCTCGCCTTCCGTCCTATCCTCAGCCTCCTGCCCTCCTTGTCTTCTCTCCCTCTTGACTTGTCCTCTACCTGATCTTCGCTTCTCCTCTCGTCTACTGCCTTCCGAGTTTTCCTCATGCTTTCATTCCAGGGGACATTGCGCAGGCCGTGGAAGGTGAACATAAAGACATCTGGATAATTGACATAAAGACATGGGGGTGATAAGTGTCTAGTTCCTTTCCTCTTTTCTTCCTCCCATTTCATCTCACCTCACCTGCTCTGCTCTGCTCTGCTCTGCTCTGCTCTGCTCTGCTCTGCTCTGCTCTGCTCTGCTCTGCTCTGCTCTGCTCTGCTCTGCTCTGCTCTGCTCTGCTCTGCTCTGCTCTGTGTCCTGCTCCTCCTCATCCCCTCCCTCCCGCTTTCCCACTACGGGAGGAGCTGGGAAAACGCATGAGCTCCTTGTCCTTTTACTTTACATATCTCGAATCCCAGCAGGAGTCCAGCTAGAGCGAGAGGCCCATCTGAGCGAGCCTCTGCTTCAGGATCATGTCATGCTCTGCGACATTTCTCAGCTCATCTAGCGCAACAGCCCAGCTGCTCACCAGCTGTTATCCTCATGATCCGGTCTGATGCTGCCGATCTCTCAACTGCGAACGCTCCCTCCAGCCGCTCCTGGCAAGCGGCAGCCTTACTCCCTCCTCCGACTTATCTCTCCAATCTGCTCCCTAACCATCCCCTCCTCCTTTCCCTCCCCTTTGCCCCTTGCCCTCCCCCTCCTCGTGATACCTTCTCCTCAGCATTATCGTCTACAGCCTCCAAGCGAAGCATCCGATCTGCGTCCAAATTATCTCCAGCACCACCACTACAACCATCATCATCATCATCATCATCATCATCATCATCATCATCATCATCATCATCATCATCATCACCTGCTTCTTTCATTTGTTCTTCCTCCAAGATCACAAGCAAGTGCTCGTTCTGTTGTCGTCTGAAAGCAACTTTTATCGCCCTCTCCACAACATTATCTGGATGTTCTTCCCTTTTCTGCCTACTCTCCACCTCCCCCCTCTTCTTTTCCCGCTCCTCTCCTCCTCCTCACCTTAGCTCGTCGATGAGCTGCATGGCGAAGGCCTTGGCGTTGCTCGGCAGCCGTTGATCACTCAGCCAGAGGTTCTGCGAGCTCCACTGCCTGTGATCCTCGTGCCGGTGATTCCCCGACGACTTCTAACACAATCAAGTCACTGCTTGCACCTTCAAAACAACTAATACGAAGGTTTCCTCCTGCTCCTGCTCCTGCTCCTGCTCCTGCTCCTGCTCCTGCTCCTGCTCCTGCTCCTGCTGCTGATCCTCCTGCTCCTGCTCCTGATCCTGCTCCTGCTCCTGCTCCTGCTGCTGATCCTCCTGCTCCTGCTCCTGATCCTGCTCCTGCTCCTGCTCCTGCTCCTGATCCTGCTCCTGCTGCTGATCCTCCTGCTCCTGCTCCTGCTCCTGCTCCTGCTCCTGCTCCTGCTGCTGATCCTCCTGCTCCTGCTCCTGATCCTGCTCCTGCTCCTGCTCCTGCTCCTGCTCCTGCTCCTGCTCCTGATCCTCCTGCTCCTGCTCCTCGTCCTCGTCATCCTCGTCCTCGTCCTGCTCCTCCCCCTCTTCGTTCCCTTCCTCCTCCTACTGATCCTCCTCCTCTCCGTCAGTCTTTCGTAAGTCTTCCCTGCTCCATCCTTCCCGATCCTCTCTGTCTCACCGTGTACGCAGACTTTGTCAGGTCATTGAGCTTCATCTTCTGCACGCTCATTTTCTTCCTCTTCTTCTGCCCGTCCGACTTTCCTCTGCTGGATTTCAGGTTCACGTCGAAACTGACATTTTCTGTCCCACGCTCCTCCACCTTGAACTTCACCTCCTCCTCCTCCCTCGCAGAGTTGAACTTCCTGCTCGCCTGCTCGACCTTCTCCCCTCCTCCTCTCGATCCGTATGCTCCATCGAGTCCTTCTCCTTCTCCTCCTCCTCCTCCACTCTTTTGCCAGCTCCCTCTGGCTTCTCCCTTGTCCCGCTCCTCTCAGTCTCGATCTCTTCGGGCTCGGAAGGCAGCACGACGCTGATTTTCTTCATTTGCTCGCCCTCGCCTTTCTCGCGCAGGGGGGCGCTCTTTGCTCCTCTCTCCTTCTTCTTCCTGCCTCCTCCTCTCCTCTCGACCCCCGAGCTGCCCCACAGCTGGTCAGCGATGGCATGAGGAGGAGGAGGAAGAAGAGAAACCTCTCCATGTCCTCAGACTCCTCCGGCTGGTGACCAGCTGGACGGGGGTTGACGCTGACGCGGGAGGAGCTTCTAGTGTTAGAAGTTTGCGGCTTCTTCGAACCCAGCTCTTCATCCACCTGACGCACAGCAGGTGAGGAGGGAGAGGTCGCAGCTGCTCGCTCGTACGCGTCTCTGCAGGTCTGCGACGTCGATCTCGAGGTCCATGCCAGGAGGAGGTTCCCACCTGAGACGAGAGTGAGGGCAGCATGAGAGATGAGCGGCAAGAGAGAAGGAGAAGGATGAGAAGGACAAGGAAGTTGAGGATGAGGAGGGTAAGAAAGTTGAGGATGAGGACGGGGACGAGGACGAGGTCGAGGATGCAGGAGCAGGAGGAGCAGTAGGAGGAGGAGGAGGAGGAGGAGGAGGAGTGAGTCAACTTTCGAGTTGTCTTGAGTCTCTCGAGGGCCTCGGCAATCGCCTGTTGGACGCACGGAGATAAGCTGGAGTGAGAAATGAAAGGAAAAGGAAGAGGAAAGAGAAGAAATGAAATGAAAATGAGAACAGAGGATGAGGAAGGCAGGACGAGTAGCAGAGGACAAGAGAGGCAAACCAGATAGGAGAAAGACAAGAGGAAACGAAGAAGAAAGAGCAAAAGGAAAGAAACAAAGCCTCACTCACCCGCTTCTGCTGCTCTTGGGCCTGTTTGATCTTCTCCTTCTCTTTCTGTAATCGCTCTTTGCGGGCCTGACGAGCATGAAAGTGACATGCCCGCAATATCCATCACCTCCTCCACCTGCAGCTCTGCTGTCTTCTTGTTGTCCTCCTCGAGTTTCTTCAGGACCTGCAGCTGAGACTTAGCGATAGGAGGAACAAGGAAGAAGCAGAGAAGGAAGAGAAGAAGGGGGGGAGGAGGAAAAGGAGGATGACGAGAAGGGAGTGGGGAAGGGGAAGGAGAAGGCAACAGCACCATCTCTCTGTTGTAGGCCTCCATCCTCTTGAGCCTCTCCACAGCTTCTTGTTTCTCCTGCTTTTTGAGCTTTTCCACTTCCTGCAAGAACAAGGCCTCCTGTCCAACAGGTGTGAGGAGACTGTGAGGAGCAAGCAAGGAGGTGATAAGGAGGACAAAGACAACGACGAAGAGGACTGGAAACTGAAATGAGATAACTACGTGACCTGTTTGCGCTGCTCCTGCAGCTTTTCCAAGATCTCCTGATGCTCTTGTTGCTTCTCGATGATTGCTTGTTTCCGCATCTCCTCATCGTGCTGGTCCATTGACAAGTCAAAGATTGACAACTTCACAGACTCTCTCACCATCGCTTTCTTCCGCTTCGCTTCCAACTTCTCCTGCGGCATCGTCACCAACATTTCTTGTTTCTCCTCTCCTTCACCTCTCTCTTCTGTTTCTCCAACTCCTTCTGTGGGCCCAGCGTCTTCCCCACAGCGTCAGACGCGCAAGTGAGGAAAAAATTCACCTCTTTCTTGAACTCCTGCAAGGTTGAGATCTTCGCTTCTTGCTCCTGTTGCGTCTCAAGGTAAGTTCAACAAAGAGGATAGGAAAAGGGGATGAGCGAGAGGAAATGAGAGGAGAGGAAATGAGAGGAGAGGAGAGGAGAGGAGAGGAGAGGAGAGGAGAGGAGAGGAGAGGGGAGGGGAGGGGAGGGGAGGAGAGGAGAGGAGAGGAGAGGAGAGGAGAGGAGAGGAGAGGAGAGGAGAGGAGAGGAGAGGAGAGGAGAGAATGGGGGGGTTGGGAGGTGACCTTTAGTTTTGCCAGAACTGCTTCCCTTCTTTTGAGATCGTCTTCCTGCAACATCCTAAGAAGAGGGTTTGACATCAACTCGTGCCTCTTGCCTGGGCTCGCAATCGTTTCTCCTCGAGCAACGCCTGCCGCACATATGGTAAGAGAGGACGGACCAGCGAACATTCTTGACCTGTTTCTCCTCTCCTTGCTTTTTTTTCTTTTCCTCCTCTCGCTCGCGCTCCTCCTGAAGTCAGAAAGTCAGTGACAGTGCGACATGGCGGGAATATCTTGATGAGAACGAGACGAGGAGCAGGGACCTGCAAGATTCTCATTCTTTCTTGGGCTTCTCGTTCTCTCTGCATCAAGGTTTCTGTTTTCCTTTGTTCGCGCACTGCCATGTCGTCCATGACCTTCTTGATATGCTCCGCCTTGGCTTCTGCTCTTCGCTTAATTTCTTCCTGTGTTTCGACTCGCTGCTTCTCGAAGTTAATTCTCTTCTCCTCTGCCTTGCGCTCTTTCTCTGCAAACAACAAGCTTTGTCGTTCCAGTGTTGCCATCTGCGCTTCTTTTGCTGCCTGGACGCGGGCCTCAATCTGCAGCTTCTTTGCTTCGTTTTCTTTGATGGCTGCTATTCGCATCTCCTCTCTCGCTTGCATCTTGCTCTTGTCCTTTTCTTCCATCGCTTGACGTCTTGCCTCTGCTTGCCTTTCTTGCTGCTTGTTGTACATCTCTTGCTTCTTCTTCAGCAACTCCATTCTCTGCGCGCGCTCCTGCTCTTTTGCTTTTGCTGCTATTCGTCTTTCACGCTCTTCGGCTTCTGCCTTCTGACGCTTCTCCTTCTCTTCTTGCAGTTTCTCTTCCATCTCTCGCTTTATTCTTGCTTCCTCCTCCGCCTCTTCTTGCCGCCGCTTTGCTTCACGCGCAGCCTGCATCTGACAACATGGCACCATCAGAGTCACGGAGCTGAACAACATGAATCAACCGACCTTCATCCATTCAGCTTCTTTTTGCTTCTTCTCGTCCAGCAAAGCTTGCTCCTTCTTCTTCTTCTCCGCCATCTTCTCGTCGTGAATTTGACGCAGACGTTCGGCTTTGAATTCGTTCAGCAGCATACTCTCAACATCTTCTTTCTGCTTCCTTTTCATCGCTTCAATTTGCCGATGCATGCTCTCAATCATTTTCTGTTCCTCGTCTTGTTCAGATCTCACGCTCACAGTGGCACTCCGATGTGAAGAATCTCCTGTCTCCCGCTGACGGGGGGTCAGTCTTTTCCTGCTCTCATCTCTGATATTCTTGTACTCTCGCATCACCGCCTCGAGCTTCATCTTTCTTGCATTCTCATAGTGTTCGTAGCGCAGCTGTAGGATTCGAGAGGGAGTCTCTTTGCTTCCGAAAGAGCTCTTGCTCTTGTACATGAGTTCTTCTGGCAACACTCCTTGCCGAGAGCAAGCATCAAGTGACCGCGGGGTGTTCAAGTAGGGAGCAGGGTTTGTTTCCTCATCGAAGTCTTCTAACGACAATTTGACTGATGCCTTTGACGCTCGTGATTGAAGAGTGGATCTCCGTCCTGTACGGCTGGGGGAGAGAGATTTGTCTGTATCACTTTCCATGGCGGTGAAACAATTCTAGAACAACGTCAAGTCTTCATGCAGGTCTGTGAGGAATTGTTTCAGAGGCTCAAAAGAACAGACTTGGAGAGAAGGGAGGCAGAAAAGATAGAAAGTAGGACAGCAAGTGGAGTCATAGCAGACGAGAGAGGGAGGCGACCGGGCAAAGGAGAGAAGAAAACAACATGGAGGAGATACTCTGGTGGACAGCGATCACTTCAACCAGGAGAACGCGTGGTGGAAGGAGCTTGGGCAGGAGGAGAGGAGAGGAGGAGAGGAGGCACATGCAGGAGAGGAGGAGAGGAGAGGAGGGCAAGCTGCCATCTTACCTCTTGCATGCCGCTGTCAAAACTGACATGGACCCCTACCCCCTCTATCTCCTCAATACAAATGACAAATAAGGGGGTCATACGTCAAAGTGCGGTTTTTGGACCAACTTTCTGGCTTTTTAGTTACTTTTACATGATTGAAAAGAAACATGACCGTCCTTTCACCGTACACTGCTGAGGCTAACTACTAGTAAGCTACACTACTACACTTCTACACTACTACACTTCTACACTACTACACTACTTCTGCCACTTCGACCCCCTCCGGGACTACGAACCGGCAACAGTAGTGAAAGTCTGTATTGTGCCCCCAAGCCCAACGTAGATACTCTGATTAAACTTGAAAGGCCCCCGCGTTGATCTCAGCCTGGCAAGCAGGACTCGTCAGAATAGAGACCTTCAGTGGGGCTTGACCCGCGATGATGTCGGCGAACTGGGGCCGTCCGACTGAGGGAGGCCGCCGGGGCCTTGAGCTGACGGGCATCATTGTCGGCACTCAGGAATCACGAGTCACACTCATGGCCCAGTGGTGCCGGGGGACGCCGCCGGCCCCGGCTTTATATGGAGCCAGAAGCGGGGATGTGGGTTTTGATTCCCAGCTAGAGGAGAGGGATGACGATTAGAGTGCGGGGTGAAGGAACGATGGAGGAAGCCACGAGAAGAGGAGAGGAGAGGAGAGGAGAGGAGAGGAGAGGAGAGGAGAGGATGGAGAGGAGAGGAGAGGAGAGGAGAGGAGAGGAGAGGAGAGGAGAGGAGAGGAGAGGAGAGGAGAGGAGAGGAGAGGAGAGGAGAGGAGAGGAGAGGAGAGGAGAGGAGAGGAGAGGAGAGGAGAGGAGAGGAGAGGAGAGGAGAGAAGGGCGGGAAAGGAGAGGAAGGAGAGGAAGGAGAGGAAGAATATTTGAACACACATGCAAGAGTAGTAAGCATATCCTGTTGCGGACAATCTTGAGAGGAAAGGGAGGGGAGCAGGGGAGGAAAGGAAGGATTGCTGTTTGGTGTTGACTTCGTGTTAGCTCAACTTTCTTCTAACAGGAGAAGGAGATGGACAGTCAAGGACTCGTGGTAGAGACGGCAGGAGGATTTTATTGCAGCAATTGTACCTTTTACAATGGAGACATCCCTCAATGTGCTATGTGCGAACATCCTAGGGACTTGGACGGAGCCTCTGGGAACGGTTTAGTAGCAGGGAATGACATGTCATTCGAGGAAGACAGAGAAGAGGAGCCTTTCGAGGAGGAGGTCAGTGCAGTTTCCCAGTCAGTGACAATACCAGCATCGCCTTCTCCTGCTGGCATCCAAGCTTACAGAGGAGGTGCGGCGCCTGGAACGGACCCCAACCAGGAGCTTCTCAACGCGGTCATCTCTAAGAAGTCAGCTTCGAGCCTGCAGAGATGGGTCGGACATGGCGCCAACACCAACCATATCTTCCGCGAGCATTGCAAGGCTGGTCGCAGTGCTCTGTGCTACGCTGTACAACAAAACGATGCAGACATGGTGAATAGTCTGGTGGGGCTCAACGCAGACGTGAACATGCGGATGGATGATGGTGAGACAGCTCTTTCTCTGGCCATCAAGAACAAGAAGTATGATGGAACAGATATGACCAGGCTCTTGCTGTCGAAAGGGGCAGACGTTTCGTCCATGGAAGGCTTGAAACTGAACGTTACGATGGAGTATTGGATGGAACAAGCCCATATCTTTCCAGTGGATGAGACGAGAAGGAAGCGTTTGGCTCCTTTCAATCTTTCTAACATTGTTGAGTTGCCATATTGCGTCATAGGACAAAGATTTGCCATGCATTCTCTGCGGGACATGGTTTGTTTTCCATCTTCACTTTACTTGCTATTCTTCACAGTGACATGGACCTTTATCAGATCATTCAATTCTGGACTGATCAGCAAGCAGCTGGTCATAAGCCTCTGGTCCTGCTCCTGCCCGGGCCTCCTGGGCATGGAAAAACCTTCCTGTGCAAGAACATCGCAGATGCGCTGGTTCCCAAGGACAGCTCGATATTGATCTCGTTGAGTGGAACCAAAGATGACGCCGACCTATTTGGATCGAGACATGGCGGGTTCACGCGATCTGACATGTCCAGTGATGGACAACTTGTATCTTTCCTTCGGAGTCGCCAGGGGAAAAGAAACATCGTTCTCTTGGATGAATTCGAGAAACTTGCAGATCTTGTCAACTGCCTTGGATGGGGACAGGTGAGTCAAGTTGAGTTGTAAACTCTTTTATGATCTTCTTATCAGGCTGAAAGAATCTACAACTCGTTCTTAGAGCCATGGCAAGATGGCTTTCTAACAGATTCAAGTCGAAACTCCAACGGACAGAAGATTGACTGCAGGCAAACAATCTTCGTGTGCATGTCAAATCGCGGGCAAGATGAGATTATCAAGTTTGCAAAGGCCAACCCCAAGATCTACAAGTCGCAACAAGATGACAGCGAGAGGCATTGGATCAAAGTGAACCTCGTCGATCGCATCCTCAAACCTCTCTGGGAGAAGTTCTTCGCCGAGATCAAACCGGAGCTAATTGCTCTTTTCCGTCGGTTTGACGCTGTCATTCCGTTCTTGCCCTTTACCGAGCGAGAGCAGTTGGTCGTAGCTGACACAGTGATTCGTTCCTACCTCGCAAGATATCGCGATCCTCCGCAAACTGACCCTTCCATCAACCTGGCGCATCGCCGAATGATCGGAAATCTGATTGTACACCACTCTAGGAAGGTTTCGCTGTTGGCAGGAGCAAGTTACTGCGCGTATGAGGGAGCCTCTTCCTTGCAGAAATATGCCAAGAACGAGATTTCGTCCCTCCTTGCCACAAAATATTTCAACTCAGAGCTTGACGCGGCTCCGAGGGTGAAGGTGGGAGATGAAAGCAAGCAAGAGTGCTGGATCGACATCGTTGCTGAAGAGAAGAGATGCTACGTCTCCTTCTCTCCTCCGCAGGACACAGACGATGAAGAGAACAAGGATCCTCCAGGTACGCAGGCGAGTAGGATCAAACCGAAGGAGGAATCGTCAAAGATTCCCTTCCACCACGAAGAGGATGACACAAACCCAGAAAAAGTTCGGCAAGGTTTGCTTGACTTCTCCTTCGATGAATCGTGAGATCCTTGGAAAATTCATGTATCTACAGTTCAAAATGTTACAAGTTAGTCTGATCTTAGTAGCTTTTGACCGTTGGAATACACTTCAACGATTATCAGTTGACATCAAGTGTCGGAAATCGATAGATTGTCAACTTGCTTTTCGACAGGGACTTTTCCTTTTGCTGGAACTTTCTTCTTTATACCATCCGTTTGCTTCCATTCCCTGTGACATGTCAGCCTCAGACAAGCCTATCGGATATTCAGTCACTTATTGCTGTTCGACAGCACTATCTCTGACTTCTTGTGCAGAAGTTGAAGCAAATACTGCAAAAGCAAACAATCATTTTCGGATTAGTTGATGGACATGCAAACCTGGCACACTTCTGATGCCACACGCATTTCCTGCAAAAGAAGGACATAGGCTGACAAAGAGCAAACCCTGTCAGGAGTAGCCTGCATGAAGTTCATTCGAGAGCTAAGGGAGAGAAGGCAAGCACCTGACTCCTCATCGGGCTCTTGTAGCGCGAGTCAACTAGGTCGCGGGGCATAAGCTTCACTCGCTTCGTTCATGTCAATGCCATGCAGGATATCAAGTGCGAGACTGAAGCACCTTCACCCACGAAGGGATTCTCTGGTTCAATCTCCTTGCCTGCTGCCAAGTTCCATCCACAAGCACTATCGTTAGGGATCCTACAGTGTGCGATCAACTAAAGTCGAGACGGCAGGCAGTTCCACCTCCGCATCCACTGTCTTGACCTTCACTGTCATTCTGGACAGTCTCTTTTGTATTTAAAGTTTCCATCATTTCCTTACAGCAAGAAGGAATGGAGTCAAACAAAAGCATATTCCCGACAGTCGGTGTACCTGGACTGTGACTGAATTCTCAGAAGGAAACAGGACGAAGGTCCGATCAGCATTTGCCCTCAATTCCTCTTGAAATTTCTTTTCATCCTTCAACGGTTCAAATCACACGCGCAAGTGAATAATCTTTCAAATGCCACCTCTTCGACATCTGCGACGTATATCTGGGATTGAGGCGGAGGAAATGCTATGGGGATAATGGAGCCTAATCGGAACAGTCAAAGATAAGGAATATACGCTATACGACATAGACATATTCTTGCCTGTATTTGACAATCTTCCGTATTCCTTTGAATGTAAGTAAACAATCGTCTTATGACAAAACAATTCCGCAATTTCTGAGAATGTCAATCACAAGCACAATCCTCAAAAAACTGTTCTTGAACCTTGCGGTGTAGTTGTGCAGATGCACTGTTTATGTAGCATCCAACAATCCAAGCACCTATTGTTCTCTCGCATCCTGTTCCTTTGGGAAAGTCTTGGCAAAGCAGACAGACACATCATGAGACTGACCTCATGCTTTCAATCCGTTGCGAAGAGACCAACAATTCCCGATTCTCCCTTTGAACCTAAAATGGCATTGACGTAATTAAAGCATCATAACATCACAACTGATCGATTCTCACTGAAGCTTCCAGTTGTTCGTGATATGCCACTAATCGATTTCGTCTTTCTTGCTGACACCTCGCCTGTCGTTCCTTGGGATCTTCAATCTCCTTCTGAGATCATCTATGGTCAAGTATTGGCCGAAAAAAGAAAGTTCTCATTACCAGCGCTCTCTGTTCATATTTCAACCTTTTCTCTTCTTCACTCAGAACCTCTTTGTGGGCTATTTCGACAATCATGCTTTCTTCGGCCGAATTTGCATCAGCAACGATCCAACTGTGCTGGTTCTGATGATGGAAACATTTCCCTTTTAGTGAGTCTACGGTGGTTCGGGCTTCTTCTTCTGTCGACATGGCAACCATCGCAACTCCTCGAGACGAGCCTTTTGCAGTTCTCAGAAGTAGAAGATTGGTTACAACCCCATATCTGCATGTTCACTCTTAGACTGGTCTGGTACATTCAAACACATTACCCTGATATCAGTTGTCTGAGTGCATCATCGCTGAGGTCTTTCGGCAGGCCTTTGAGAAAGAGGTTTTTCATGCGGGCCAATTTTGCCTGAGTGAATTATCATTATGAACGTGAGTGAGGAGAGTGGGGAGTCAAAATGAAACAAGATGGGGGAAGGAGTAATCGTTGCATGCTGTTAGGAGGAGGACAGGAAGGGGAAGGATTCTTATGAGAAGGAGGATGAGGAAGGAGTGCAGGATGGTGAGGAGGCAGACGAAGAGAGAGGAGAACGTGAAGGATGTCATTCTGCATTTTGGGCAGATGTTGGGCATGCGCCAGCTTTCTGAGGCCAGCTTGGTTGCTGTTTCTCTGAGGCAATCTCAGATGTCAAATATTAAGTAATAGTTCAGTATAACACTTCTGTAGTTTTAGTCAACTCTGTTGATGCGGAGAGTCACCATGGAGAAGGTGTTTGTGGGAAGGAGCTCATGAAGCGGCATGGCGGGAGGACATGGCAGGAGGATACTGAGAGTCTCTTGCTCCTCGTGAAGCTGAACCAGTCCCAATGGACTCGGATGGCTTGACCTCATGTGACTCAGAGTTCAACTGACCAGGGCGTGATGTTTTTGTTCCGAATTTTCCTCTCAATCCTTTTGATTCCTGCAGCAAGCACACATGGATCACAGCAATCCATGGCCATCATGTGCACTGTTGACAACAGTGGCAACCCTGAATTACAGGTACGAACCGAATTTTCTCACTCTTTGCTCGATGTTTCATCTTTCTTCCAGGAAATGGTGAGCTTGGAATCTACTACTCCTACGCATTACGGATGGAGACGGTGTGTTCCCAAGTCCTGTGGAGACTATCCTGTGGGCTTGAACATGACAGCGAGACCGGTATCCGCGGTGGTTGGCGGCCGAGTGACACTCTCATGCGATGATGGCTTCTTTCTCAATGGCCCTGGATCACCTAACCCGTTGTGTCTTTATCAGGATGGCAACTACGAACAGGGACAAGTTTGTAGTCCCATCGGTTGTACCAAGTGCCCTGAATTCGTTGATGACCCGTACATGAAAGTCTTCATGCCCGTCCAAAACAGCACCAATGAAGTTGTGTGCCTTCCTGGGTATAAACCATGGCCTGGGAACACTACTTTTGATTTTCAAAAGCACTGCCAAAGCAATGCAACTTCCTATGCTTTATCTTGTGAAAACTGTACATGGTGGCCATCACCAATCTCAGGTCCAATTCAACGCTGCCGGATCCAGCAATGTAGGCCATTGACTGCATTAGATCCTTATGGCACAACAAAGTTTCTTTCAGCAGCAACCGCTCATAAACCTGAGCCTTATTTCATTGATGAGACCATTCTTCAATATGGAGACATCATCGTTGTAAATTGCTACTCTGGATTTCGTGCGAATTCATCATCTCCTGATGCACCAAGGTCATACAACGTTACCTGCAAGGATTCCTGCATGCTTTCTGGAATACAGAATTGCACTTTGGTACAATGTCCTGTTGTGCAGGCTCCAGGTAACAGTTCATTCAATGCATCTGGTGTATTGTACCATGGCAATGAGCTTCAAATCTCCTGTGATCTAGGGTATAAGGTCTCCGGGACTTCATGCGCAAAACATTTTGCCGTCACATGCTCGGACGGTGTCTTGGTTGGACTCAAAAGTTGTGTTCCGATGCAATGCGGTTGTGGAGAAGCCTCTTGTCAACCTTATTCCAAGGCTGCACCACCCTATGACGCTTTTGCAGAGACATGGTCTCCGGTTACTTCTGTTGCACATGGACAGTCAGTGCAAGTACAGTGCCCTTCAGGTTTCCGGGCCAATGTGAGTTGAAATTGTAGTGAAGATGCAGGTCTGACTCGTTGAATAGGAAGGGAACTTTTCAGACTGCTCATTTCAGCCTTCATACACAGCGACATGCAACGACTGTACATACCAATCGAAAGCTACTTGCAAAAAAATATCCTGCGGAAATTATGAAGATTGGCCATTGTTCAACAAAGCTACGATGGAAGTTGTCTCGTACAAACCGACAATATTACGGAGCAACATGTATGCATTTGGTATTTTTGTTTGTATCTCCTTGACCTTTTGTGTTAGATCTATCGGTGGCGTTTTAGTCACACAATGGAATGTCGAGTATGAGAGTGTTGTGAAGGTACAGTGCAAGCCTGGATACAGAGCCAGAATCGTCGGGTCAACAAAAGTTCCCCTGGTACAAGATCCACAAAGTTTTGAAGTTAAGTGCATGGACACATGTTCATACTTTCCACTTTATGAGTGCGCGATGATACCATGCGCTAAGTTCTTTCCAACTGGTGGTACCATCGGAAGCAGTTTTGATATTCCAGAAGGTGGTTTGACCTCCGTTCCTTGTCAGAAAGGTTACAAAGTTTTTGGAACACGTTTGATGGATTGTAAGACAGTCTTCACGGTTTCATGCAAGGCCGGAATTTTGAATGGCACTGATCAACACTGTGTTCCTATAAATTGTACAGCGGGAGATCGTTGTGGAACAGCAAGTGGAGGTGTCTGTGACCTTCCTTCAGTCGTACCGGGTGCTCTATCCATTGCTCAAACATACATGGACTCAAAACTTCTCGTGACCTGCAAAAGTGGCTATCGCGCTACTTCAAACTCAGTATCGAGTTGTTTGGAACCTCAGTCTTACAACATTACTTGCGATAATTGTCAGCTTGAATCACTTGGGAAAAGTTGCAAACCTATCCAATGTCCTGCATTCTCGACTTCAAATTCCGTGTCTGTTGGGTCAGTGGTGAGTTTGAATGATACGAAGATGATTGAATGTGCCCTTGGATACAGAGCTGTCACTGGCGGGGTTACAATTGCCACGGCAAGCGATCCCAAGAGCTTTCAAATAAGGTGTAACAGTGACTGCTCGTATTCTGGGATCAAGCAATGCGTCCCCTTGCCTTGTGGAACGTACAGTGGACTTGGATTCCAGTATGATGCACAGTGGTCTGCCGAGAAGCAATATTTTCACGGTCAATCAATCACAATTAGTTGTCCTATGGGATATGTGGTGAAGAGTTCTAGATGTCAAAAATCATTTGTTGTTTCTTGCATTGATGGTCAATTTTCAGGCCAACAAAGTTGCATCCAGGTGTCTTGTGTGAATGGAAGTAATAGCAGCTGTGGCGAAGGTTTTTGTCCATCATTTTACCAAACCTTCAGTGATGAATATGACAATGTGCTCATCGAAACGGGCACAGCTTCGAATCCGCTGCAAGAGTTGGCCAATGAAATTGTTCCGCACGGGCAGCTGGTATTAGTTGAATGCATAGCTACTCATGCTCCAACTCCAATTCAAAAATTTCCACAAGCTTGGTCCGATTGCCCATACATCCCAGGATATGCGCCTGGTAGTTTCCCAGCGCGTTGCAACGATTGCGCTTGGAATCGCCCTTGGTATTGTTCTGTAATGCGATGCCATTTGCATGGTCAACTGGGAAGTAATATGCAATTTTACACAAATCCAAGTTCTTCCTCAACCGTCGATTATGTTTACTACGGGGAAAATGCATATGGGAAGTGTTTGCCAGGATATACTTTTGGCGAAAACAATTTTACAGAATATGTGAAGTATACTTGCGGGTCCAACTGCACTGTCAGTCCTTTGAAAGTATGCATCCCAAAGGAGTGTGGTAGGATCCCGCCTCAGCTGCATTCTTCGGTAGACTCGAATCTTCTCGACAAAATTTATGTTGAAGGAGAGCAGTTGACCGTGGTGTGTATGTCAGGGTACAGAGTGAACGGAACCACGTGCGATTCTTATTACACGATCAAATGCATTGATGGAAAATTTCTTGCAACGTCAGAATCTTCACAAATTCCCAGGTTTGTTGTTTGTGAGGCGTTCAATGGTGATGGTTCTCAGTGTGGTACCTGTCCATCAATTGAAAATCTGAAAAATTTCTTCCATATTTCCTCGTGGAGCTCCAACTTGCAGATCAGAGTGAATCAGAGCATTACTGTGCAATGTAAAGAAGGTTATAGATCTGTGCCATCTGAGTTTTCGAGTGTTCCTCCTCCGTGCAACACAAGTCACGAGCACGAAATGTTCTGCACACAATATGGCTGGCAGAGCCGATATGTCTGTAAACCAATTTTTTGTCCTGTACAGTCTTCCTCTCAACAATTCTCTACTATTCAATCGAGTAATCAAGTGCTTTTCAATCAGAGCGCAAATTTTACCTGTGCTTACGGCTATCGACCTGGTTCCAGTGACCCATCAACACCAACATGGCAAGTGGTTCGATGCTCTGCTGATTGTACATTTACTCAATTCTTACCTTGTGAACGATCTACTTGTGAAGGCTTCAATCTTCCAAGTTATGCCGTCGCTTTGGAGAAACTGGATCAAAATACTTTGATAAGTTTCAATCCAAATGCTTACAGGTTTCAGCTGTATCACAGTCAAAGTATTCTGTTTAATTGTCAAAATGGATTTTATTTGCCAAACACGTGTAATAGCAGTTTTAGAGTCTCATGTGATGATGGAGTCCTGCATGGCATTCAAGAATGTATTCGATATCAGGACGGTACTTGTACCACCTGCAAGGGAGTGACGGTAGACAATGTCAGCCATGCCAAAAGCATTACTTATCCCACTGATGTCTCAGCTAGAAGCATCTTTGACAACGGGCAATTCGTTCACGTAACTTGCTTGGATGGTTACTTTGCAACATCGTCAAAGCAGTCGGACGTCACTTGTGATAATGGTGTGGCTGGATACAACTTGGTGTGTAGCAATGGATCATTTGTCAGCAACATCTCTTGTAATCCTGCAATGTGTTTCCCATACATCCAATATTCATTCGACAACAATGTGGTTTCAACCATGCCCTCTGCTGTAAAATATCAGGAATATGTAAATGTAACGTGCAAGCACGGATATCGCCCCAGCTCTACACTTCCATCCTCAAAGCCCTGGTTTCTCACACAGTGTCAAAGCAACTGTGGATACAATATTTCAATTTGTCAAAGGGTGATATGTAATTTGATCGAAATGTCCTTGCCATCCAACACTCACTCTGCTACAGACACCTCAAAAGTCATCAGACATGGTGATACGTTTCTTGTTGAATGTGACTTTGGATTTTCATCAATGGCTGCAGAGTGCAATACAGTAGCAAACTTGACTTGTGATGATGGAACGCCTGCACAAGAGCAGGTTTGTACTGCTGAAATCCCTTGCGGATGCGGTACTGGACCCTGTGTCATCAACACTTCTGCTCTTGGACATCATGTGGCGAATTGGAGTTTGCTTCCCGTTCCCCCGTACGGGCAGAACGGCTTCTGGGCAAAGGGACCGTATTTCGATCAAGCCTCTGGGTCTGAGACGAGGCTCAACCACAAGGTGAGCGTCACCGCAATGTGTGAGGAAGGGTACCGGGTTGTCATGGCGGACTCGAACGCGAGTGTGTCAAGCTGCGACAGTCCAAGGAGCTTCAATGCAACTTGTGACGACTGCTCGCTGACCAAAGGAGGCACATGCGCTCCCATCGTGTGCGACCTTGGCGAGCTCGACATGTACACGGAGAGCATCTACCCCGGGCTACCAGCCACCTTCGGGACTACGCTAAACATCACCTGCAAGGAAGGGTACAGACCGGGGACTACAAACGCGAGTGCACCGAGGTGGTACACAACAGTATGCAGATCCGACTGCCAGCTCACTACAAGGAAGATGTGTATGAGAGTGATCTGCCCTATCTCATCGATCCCAACTACGATCATACCGAGTGTCAGTCCCTTGCCGGTGCTTTTTCACGATGACAACATATCTTTTAGTTGCATCACAGGATATCATCTCAATGGATCATCCTGCTGGTCCGGCGATGCTATGTCATACATCAGGTGCCTTGACGGAGAGGTAAAGTTCCAAGGATCCTGCTCGTCTTCGGTGTGCGGGTGCTCGTATGCACCATGTTACATTAATGAGAGCTCCCACTTGTTCGCAAATGTCATGACATGGAACGTGTCTGCTGGGACAGAGCTCTCGATGGATGGAGGCATTCCTCAGGTCTTGCACGGGGGCAGGATAACTTTGAGCTGCAAGGACGGCTATCGGCCTAAGCTGACGTCTGCTGTGTATCCTCCGGATGTTAACCAGACCAGCGACTTTGAGGCGCAGTGCATGGATTGCTCTTTGATGTCCAACTACACCTGTGAAGCCGTGGCTTGTGAGAGCGTTGCCTCCAGTCCGTGGCTCGAGAGCATCTCTCTATCTCACCCTTCGTTTGCTGACGTGATGACGGTCAAGTGCAAGCAAGGATCCGCGCTGTCGATGAATGGGACGGCAAGCGTTTGCACGCAGGTGAATGCCTCGTATCAAGTCAGTTGTGATGCATACGGCAAGTTTGAAGCGTTTCAGTGTCTGCCCATGCTATGCCCAGACTACGAGAGCTTCATCACAGATCCGAACCTGGTGAGGACAAACTTTTCGGAGGTACACGTCAACGGTAGCCTTCAGGTGAAGTGCCGGTATGGCTTTCGCATGGGATCACGCGATGTACTCGCCTCACCGTACTCAGAGGTCAGGTGTCTCCCAGACTGTACCTTCACAAGCCCCGCTGGGTGTCTGCTCGTGCAGTGCGGTGCTTTGCAAGTTCCTACTAACGCTACGGCTGAGCTGATTCAATCTAACTTCTCCGAGCTCAATGGCACATCTCGTCAGGAGCCTGTAAGCTTGGCTGATGGCGGCATCGTGTCGTTGCATGGAGACATCATCCGAGTTACTTGCAGCCCCGGGTACCACGTACGATTCAACAACACTTGCTTCACTCAGTATGACATCACCTGCACCGAGGGCAACCTTTCGCAAGTCTTCGAGTGTATTCCAATTGAGTGTGGTGTACTGGAGCTGGCGGAAGGAGAAGCCTACTGGAACAAGAGCTCTGACAAGCAGGTCAACATCACATGCAAACCCGGATACCGGGCCTCTGGACCCCCGGCAAGCGACTCCTATCTCTGCAACAAAAGTCGTACCTACGAAGCGATGTGCGAAGATTGTTACTGGGATCGCCGAAACCTGTCTTGTAACAAGGTTCGATGTCCCCCGTTGACCCTCCAGGATCCCAACGTTGACGGCGAGCACGCCTACGTGGAGTACTCGGACGTTGTCAATGCGACATGCAAAGTCGGCTTCCGCGCCGGCAGCAACCTCCCAAACGCGAGTAAGGAGATCACAGCACTTTGCAATGACATGTGCGCGTATGACACTTTGGCTTGCCTGCCCGTCGTGTGTGCATCAACCACGTTTCCGAACCACCTGCCCTCAACGTCTGCAGGTCATCTTTCGAATGTCACGCTTAGCTGTGTGGAGGGGTACCGCTTGGGCGACGAGACTTGCTCGACCTCGTATCAGGTCACTTGCGAAGACGGAGAATATCCTGCGACGAAAATACGACAATGCGTGCGTGCGGTGTGCAATGTGTCTGACATCGGAGATCCTTACATCGAGCATCTGAATACAACTTACGATTTCTCGGAAAACGTCACGGTGACATGTAAAGAAGGGTATCGAGCGGTGCTGAAGACGCACTCTGATCTTGTCAACTGCTCTGAGAGCAGGTCGTACGAAGCGAGGTGTGGGCTGTGCGGGTGGGAGGCAGAGGCGCACTGCCAGCGCATAAGCTGCGCGTGCTCGTATGCACCATGTCACATTAATGAGAGCTCCCACTTGTTCGCAAATGTCATGACATGGAACGTGTCTGCTGGGACAGAGCTCTCGATGGATGGAGGCATTCCTCAGGTCTTGCACGGGGGCAGGATAACTTTGAGCTGCAAGGACGGCTATCGGCCTAAGCTGACGTCTGCTGTGTATCCTCCGGATGTTAACCAGACCAGCGACTTTGAGGCGCAGTGCATGGATTGCTCTTTGATGTCCAACTACACCTGTGAAGCCGTGGCTTGTGAGAGCGTTGCCTCCAGTCCGTGGCTCGAGAGCATCTCTCTATCTCACCCTTCGTTTGCTGACGTGATGACGGTCAAGTGCAAGCAAGGATCCGCGCTGTCGATGAATGGGACGGCAAGCGTTTGCACGCAGGTGAATGCCTCGTATCAAGTCAGTTGTGATGCATACGGCAAGTTTGAAGCGTTTCAGTGTCTGCCCATGCTATGCCCAGACTACGAGAGCTTCATCACAGATCCGAACCTGGTGAGGACAAACTTTTCGGAGGTACACGTCAACGGTAGCCTTCAGGTGAAGTGCCGGTATGGCTTTCGCATGGGATCACGCGATGTACTCGCCTCACCGTACTCAGAGGTCAGGTGTCTCCCAGACTGTACCTTCACAAGCCCCGCTGGGTGTCTGCTCGTGCAGTGCGGTGCTTTGCAAGTTCCTACTAACGCTACGGCTGAGCTGATTCAATCTAACTTCTCCGAGCTCAATGGCACATCTCGTCAGGAGCCTGTAAGCTTGGCTGATGGCGGCATCGTGTCGTTGCATGGAGACATCATCCGAGTTACTTGCAGCCCCGGGTACCACGTACGATTCAACAACACTTGCTTCACTCAGTATGACATCACCTGCACCGAGGGCAACCTTTCGCAAGTCTTCGAGTGTATTCCAATTGAGTGTGGTGTACTGGAGCTGGCGGAAGGAGAAGCCTACTGGAACAAGAGCTCTGACAAGCAGGTCAACATCACATGCAAACCCGGATACCGGGCCTCTGGACCCCCGGCAAGCGACTCCTATCTCTGCAACAAAAGTCGTACCTACGAAGCGATGTGCGAAGATTGTTACTGGGATCGCCGAAACCTGTCTTGTAACAAGGTTCGATGTCCCCCGTTGACCCTCCAGGATCCCAACGTTGACGGCGAGCACGCCTACGTGGAGTACTCGGACGTTGTCAATGCGACATGCAAAGTCGGCTTCCGCGCCGGCAGCAACCTCCCAAACGCGAGTAAGGAGATCACAGCACTTTGCAATGACATGTGCGCGTATGACACTTTGGCTTGCCTGCCCGTCGTGTGTGCATCAACCACGTTTCCGAACCACCTGCCCTCAACGTCTGCAGGTCATCTTTCGAATGTCACGCTTAGCTGTGTGGAGGGGTACCGCTTGGGCGACGAGACTTGCTCGACCTCGTATCAGGTCACTTGCGAAGACGGAGAATATCCTGCGACGAAAATACGACAATGCGTGCGTGCGGTGTGCAATGTGTCTGACATCGGAGATCCTTACATCGAGCATCTGAATACAACTTACGATTTCTCGGAAAACGTCACGGTGACATGTAAAGAAGGGTATCGAGCGGTGCTGAAGACGCACTCTGATCTTGTCAACTGCTCTGAGAGCAGGTCGTACGAAGCGAGGTGTGGGCTGTGCGGGTGGGAGGCAGAGGCGCACTGCCAGCGCATAAGCTGCCTTATTCCTCTGTATGGCGATCCAACTGTTATTGTAGAGAAATCCTCGCTGAAGTACGGGGAGAAGTTGAATCTAACTTGTAGGCGTGGATTGGTACCTGCGAACTTTGCGGAGATCTTCGCAGCGTATGGCGCCAGCGCCGATTGTTTGAATGCTGGGCAGCGCGCTTTTGAGATAGGCTGTGAGGCTTCCTGCAACGTGAGCAATGAGCTGGGATGTGTCAGCGCTTTCTGCCCTGATCCACAACTTGGTTGGATTGTGAACTCGAGCATTGCAGTCAACCAATCCATACAAGTTTCATGTTCTGGAAACAAACGATTCGACGGTCAGCCGATGCTGGATGCGATGGGGTTGACTTGTACCGACAGTTGTCAATACAAGCTCGACGGAGTCACAGGACGTGAAAAGCCTTACAGCTGCGGGAATGTTAATTGCACGTCGTTTAGAAGCAGTTTGTCAAATGCGCACGTTTTAGGAGGTGGGGCTGGTCTGAACGAGACGACAACAGTACAGATGGAGTGTGACCTCGGATATGCTTTCAGAGTTGAGTTACAAGGGACGACCAACGACTCCTGCACAAGATCGTCATCCGCATATTGTTATGATACTCAGATGCAGACAGCCTGCTCCAGGGAGATCCCTTGCGGATGCGGTACTGGACCCTGTGTCATCAACACTTCTGCTCTTGGACATCATGTGGCGAATTGGAGTTTGCTTCCCGTTCCCCCGTACGGGCAGAACGGCTTCTGGGCAAAGGGACCGTATTTCGATCAAGCCTCTGGGTCTGAGACGAGGCTCAACCACAAGGTGAGCGTCACCGCAATGTGTGAGGAAGGGTACCGGGTTGTCATGGCGGACTCGAACGCGAGTGTGTCAAGCTGCGACAGTCCAAGGAGCTTCAATGCAACTTGTGACGACTGCTCGCTGACCAAAGGAGGCACATGCGCTCCCATCGTGTGCGACCTTGGCGAGCTCGACATGTACACGGAGAGCATCTACCCCGGGCTACCAGCCACCTTCGGGACTACGCTAAACATCACCTGCAAGGAAGGGTACAGACCGGGGACTACAAACGCGAGTGCACCGAGGTGGTACACAACAGTATGCAGATCAGACTGCACGTTTCTTCGACCGGCATGTATCCCAGTTTCTTGTCCTTTGCTTCCATCTAGTTTTGTTGGAAGCATGCATGCGGAGAATGTACCTTTCTTTAGTCCTCAAAATCGCTTCGTATCGGAAATTTCCAACACAAATGGTTTGCAATCAATCAACCAATGTGCAGTGTTTCTCGAGATGCTATTGGGGAATGCAATCCAGCATTTTTCGTAAATCGCACTCTCGTAAACTTACCCGAGTCAAACATCGTTCTTGTTCATTTGCATGCGACAACATCTTCTGCGACTGCGAATTTTTCAAATCCAATTTCAATCAGTGTCAAAGATGACATTGCAAGCTTGATTTTGAATGTTGATAGTATAAACTTGAGTATGATTCCTTCTAACAACTACACTGAGATTTGGTCATCCAGCATGAATGTTTGGTTCGATTTGAAGTATTATTCTGGATTTCAATTGTTTCCAATCTCGCATTTCAAAAATGTTAGCGGCCAATTCTCTGACGTCGTGTTAGCGTTTGATTTTGAGATTACAGAGAATTTTGCAACGACTGGATATTTGTTTTTCTTAGGCGGCACGAACTATTCAACCTGGGCACGAATTCGCACAGAAGGATCTAAAATAATTTTGACATTCCAATCTGGAAAGACGAACATGCAAGTTTTGAATGAGAACGAGTCCATGTCTGTTGAACTTGAAGTTCCTTCCACGGCAGCCCATTATCATGTACTTATCGACATTCGTCTGTCCATTTGCAGCATGAGTATTTGGATGAATGACAAGTTGCAGAAAGTCAAAAAATGTCTATCTGGTGCAGGAATTGACAAGTGGGCTGATGAGTCTGGCCTTGGATTCTATGGCAGACAGCCGACAGATTTCCCTGTCAATCTAGACCCTGGGACAAGATCCAGTGAATCAATCTTGAAGCCGTTTCTGAGAATATATGAAGCCGACCTGAGAGCAGTGAAAGCAGCTCCAAATCTTTACGTAAAATGCAAGTTATGTGTGGACCAGGATTTCAAGCTTTTTGTTGAAAAATCTGTATCATACGACAACGGTGTTGAGTGGAATCAGTCGTCAAAGGTGTGGTGGAATGTAGGATCTATCTCAATACCGAATATCCGAGGAGCATTGATTCAGTTTTGGGAATGCAAGTCTTCTTGTTTCATGGCAGACATTTCCAAATACTTTCCTGACCCTCTTGCAAATTATCTTTTACACGGAAACCAAATTCAGTCGAAGTGTGACTTCAACTATTGGTTGACATCAAATCAGAGTTATGAACAAAACGTATCAATTGCAGGGAACTCAAGGTAATTTGGATGGTTCTCGTCTTTCCCACTCATAAGTGTTGCTCAGTTGTCGAGTGTTCTCAAATCTTTATTGCATCAATGGGAATCTTCAATCTCAAGATCAGTGCATTAGCGGAATACCTTGTGGATGTGGTTCTGCAGCATGCAGGTTGAAAACTAATTGACCTTCTGTGATGATGATTTATTGGAAGGATTTCGAGTATATCATCCAGCGAGGGGACGGCATCGTTCTATCCGGTGAGTAAAATAGCGAATCGACGGAGTTTTTTCAGAGTCTGAGCTTGTGTTTAGATTCCCACACCAGATTATGGAGTCAATGGATTTTGGAGTACGCAAACGTTTCTAGGTTGGATTGTATTTGCTTGAATGATGTGTTCTGATCGGGATATTGTAGACAACGAGACCCTACAACATCGGGCAAGCATGGCCGTGGAATGCAAGTCTGGTTATCGCAAAGCCGATCGGTTCGCAAGATGTTTGATGCCACAGGTTTTTGATAACTAAACTGCAAGCAGTGCAATTGGATTTAGTCAATGCAATTTTACGAAGAATTTTACATTAACATGCAATGATTGCTTAGTTGAGCCCTATGAGGTAGTTCAGCTGATCAAAGTTGTACAATGATTCGTCTTGCAGTGTTTGCCAGTGCAGTGCGAATCTTTCATCCCCCCCGACAACGGGACGACCAAACAATCAGGCAGGCTCACTTTTGGCAAAGGGGTGAGCATGCAGATGCATCAGCTTGGTCGTCCCTGATGCCTGACAGGTTGCGGTTGACTGCCCTATTGGGACACGCGCGATGCCGACGGGTGAAACATCGACATACGTTGACACCTGCAGCTACAATCGGACGTACTATGCCGTTTGCAATGATGCTTGCGGATATGATTCCTACGAGAGTGTAATGCTCAAAACAATTCATTCTCCGCAGTTCGATGATCATCTTGTGATGCAGTGCCAAATGATTTCATGTCCAGCTTTTCTTGCTGCAGTCCAAGTTACAAACATTAATTCAAGGTTTTTGAATTTTTCACTTTCATGTGCATGTGTAACGCTTGATGAAAGTTCTACGCTTTTGAATACTTCCAGAGCTTTTGGTGAAGTAATTGAAGTACATTGCTTGACCGGATACAGGTGTGTTCGACTTGGAAGTACGTGAATGACACTCTTGTTTAGAGCGGGATCAAATCTATCCTCAGCCCCGACATTTTTCACCGCAAGATGCGAAGATGATTGCAGTTATTCCAATGGTGACAAGTCAGGCAACTTGTTGTCTCTACGTTGAGTTCTTGTTTTATAGTGGTAGAATGTCAAATGGTCAGTTGTGGACGAAAGGATCTATCAACTTCCAATGCCCGCGTGAAAGGTAAGCAAATATAAGTTCTTCCTGCTGTTCTGAAATGATGTGGAGATTCAATGGACCAATCAGAAATCGAGTTATCACATGGACAGGTAAATTTGCAAGTCAAATTTCCAATAACATAAACTTTGCAGTCCCTTTCTATTGCCTGCATCTACGGCTTTTATGTTGGAAGCAGCGGAAGTACATATTTCAACAGTACCAAAGAATATTCTCTCAGTTGTGTCAATGGACAGGTAAATTCAATTTACTACTTCAAACTTTCCAAGGATGATCTGATTCATATAGTACTCGACTGTTGAGCCTTGTGTGCCACATGTTTGCAGCAAGTTCAATTCAATACAACCTCTGGATGATCCATACGCAGTAAGCGTGTCTGATTTTTGTAATTAAGAAAACGAATGAATTTTGACAGGAAAATTGGACATCGGTCAGTAATGAATTGTTTTCCACAGTAATTATCACATGCAAAGAGGGCTATCGAGCATCCACAGGTGTATTTCAATGGGTGGAAATTCTTTGAATAGACTGAATTGGATTCGCAGGAGTTGGGATCGTGACGTGCAATCTGTCGATGTAAAAGTCTACTGAGTAGATTCACATTTTTGCTGAGATGCTTCAAGGTCCTACAATGCATCCTGCTCGTTGAATGGATGGGAGTCAATCTACAAGGCAAAGTTTCAAATTCTAAGATGTTTCATAGCTGAAACGAATTTGTTCTTCAGTGCCAACCAATCTCTTGTACAACTTACGCTATGGGAGTCGGAGTGCAAGGAAGGTGAGTTTCTTTGCGACTGCATATGAATGAAAGTGAGAATCTTCAAACAGCAATGTGGAAGATAACATACTTTTCAATCGTACATTGAAGGTCACATGTGCAACTGGATACATTCCATGGAAAACGAAGAATTACAATGAGAGCCTTTCCAACATATACCCAGAGCCAGTGTATGACAAGGCTACAAATTCCTTCAAGCAAGCTCGTTGTTCAGGCGTGATGTTTGAAGAGGTGTGCCAGAGTGACTGCTCGTTCTCCGACTCTTGGACTTGTGCAAGGTTCCAATCTTTTATCTAATCTTGGCTCTAAAACATGTTACAGTGCAACCTGTCCCCCATTGCCATCTCTCAAGATTAACAGTTTCCCCGTTGCAGAGGTATAACAAGACTATTATCATTTGTACGAAGATGATGGGGATATTGACAGAGCCAGAGATCAACAAACGCTTCGAACGACATAGAGGTGAGGCAAGGACCATGCAAGTGCCTCAAATACTCACTCTCAAGACTAAGATTACCTGTCCACCTGGTTTCCGATTTGATGATCCTGTAAGCTCCTTCGAAACGCTTTTCTTCTACCAGTGTTGAACTGACACCGCCTCAAGTACAAAGGCCCGACTGTGACTACAATTGGATGCGATGACGATTGCGTACATCGAAGGAGAGATGTTGTGAACGGGAGCCTCAGTTGCCTCGTGATATCTTGTGGGGAAATTCAGATACCACCCAATGCTTTGATTACTTGGCAAAGTGGAGACAGGTTTGAAAGGAATTGTTGGAATGTGATCAATCATGAATGATTGTGTTAGATCAATGCCTACTGCAATTTGGAATGATACCGTAACCTAGCTTGGGATACGAATGCATATGCTCTGACAAAGATGCAGTACATCTTAGGCTGCAGTGCTGGTTTTCGAATCACCAACTCTGTTCCACCAAACTGCGGTTTTCATTTCAAGGCAATTCTTCATATTTTTTCCTTGGCAAATACTTCCATCAAGAAGTGATATTGTCCATAGATTGCTTGTAGCGAAGATGGCATCTTCAGACTGGTGAACATGCAAAGCGAAGCAGAGACGAAGAATTTCTATGTAGCGGTAATGTTTTCTCAAATTTGTGTAGTCATCAGCATGATTTGTCCATTTGGAAATGCAGTCTACAGGAGAAAAGCTTGTGTTTTCCAAGACTGAGACAAAAGGAAAGTACCTTCCCCTTTAACTCTTTGTTCTAATAGACTTGGCAGAATTTTATTCAAGCTCGCCTTTCGGTGGACCAGAAAGCACTTGTTCAAATTTGGTGATCGTTCACCCAGTGCTATATTTTACTGTTTTGAAGAGCATTTCAAGGCATGCGGTTGCGGACAATGCCTCCAAGGATTAGACTTTTTGCGTCCGTTGAACTATTCACAAGTATGTATTGCACATTCTCCATCATTTCTTTCTCACTCTGTTTGATCTCCAAAAAGATTCTAGATTTAAGTCCAACAGAAGGTGAGCTCAAGCATATCTGCGTCAAGGAGTCCTAATGAGTTGGCAGACGTATCTGGATACACGGATCCCCAGTACATCATCAGGAAACGCCTGATTCAAAGCTACTTTGCATGAAAAAGGTTGTTCAGGAATACCCAAGTGGAATTCATGTGCAAACCGGGATATAGCATTCAGAACGGAACGGCCCCTGAACGTGAGCCAGAGTGTACCTTGAAAGCTTGTTTAACGATCTGAAACTATAGAGCTTTCATGGAAGACGACATGCGCAGCACCAAATGATGACGGTGTAGACGGAGAAGCAGCTAGTGTGATCAAGTATTGGAATTGCGGGTAGTTCTTCCACAAGCGACGATGCGTTTGCATACTGAAAGGTTTGATTTATTTTCTAGATTCCAAGAACCTCCCCCTTGCGAGCCTCTTCACTGCCCAATTTTCGCTCCCCCTGCAAATAGCCATGGCAAGAGACAGGAGGCTTTAAACGGCGGTGGTCTAAAGCCAATCCAGTTGTCACCGCTTCGTGGAATGCCGATCGCAAGTATGGGTATGGGGATGCTTCGGAAATTGAAATTAAGTGCGACACGGTAAAATGAACCGAACAAAAGTGCACATATAAAAAATGATATGAATGCCGCATTTGTAGGGTTATATGAGATCCGACAGCAACCAATATCAGTGCCAGCAATCCTGGAAGATCAAGTGTGGCCTCAAAGGTGCTACATATCTTCAAGATGTCACCTTGGCTGAATTTCTCTGCAGGCAAATGGGTCCTTTCAGAAAACATTTCAAGATTGGCAGATGTAACCTGCATCTTGATTACGTTAGTATCAGTGACGAGATGTATTTGAAAATTTTGATGAAAATCCTTCGCAGATGCCCCCTGTCATCAATCATTTTTGCAAATGATTCAAACGCAACTTCCAATACAACCTCTCGTAGTACATGCATAACTTGATGGTTGCAATCTCTGAAATTTAGAAAGATGCCAACACGAAAGTTATGCTCTCGAATGGACAACATATTTTGGTAAACTAAAGCTTTCTTTTTGTGGGACTTGATCGCATTGTTCTTCTTACCTAACTTTTCTTTACGAAAGGCATCTCAACTTTCTGGAAACGTTACGTATTTGGACATTATTACAATCAGGTTGCCAAATTGCCAACTTTCCTTTCGCTCTCTTACTGCGCCCAATAGCTGTGTGGAAAGCTATGCCTTCACTATCGAAGGCCAGTTCAAACTGTTCTTCGAAGGAATATCTATGTGCTGACAATCCAATCATGCCTACAACAGGTTCAAAGAGTCTTGTCTGTCAGCAAAATTGCATGTTCGATAATGTTGCAAAAACTTGTGTACTGTTTCAAGGAAAGTGCCCAGCAATAGATTATTTCGAAGTAAGGGTTTCATATCTATATGCTGACAGTCACCTTTAAATGCCAGCTTGGTGAAAGCGTGGTACCGAATACTTATTTCTCTGGCTTAGAGCAATTGAATGCATTCCAGAAAGTAGAAATTGCCTGCAAGGTATCAAGATATCTCGTTAGGGCCATTGTTGAATATATGCAGGTTGGATACGTGCTAGATAATTCAACAGGACCAGTTGTTTTTGCAGGTTTGGAATCATTGGGGCCGGTGAAAGTATTGGTATAACCAAACTTCGGTTGAAATCTATCAGAAAGTCTAAATGACTCTCAGGACAACAAATTGTTTCCTCCCCCGACTAATGGAGGAACTTTGGGACTTGCAGGCTCTGGAGTGCAAATAAGCATGCCGAAAGGTTGAGAGAGTTGGCCAAGCCTGAAGTGCTGATGCGTTTCAAGATGTGTGGCCTTCGGACGCTGGAGCCTTGTCAATCACAGTGATCGATCTCAACGCGATGCTGTCACTTCGGTATGGTGGGATAATTTCAAATTCTTTTCCATAAGTTCACTTGGTAGGCGAAAATTGCTCGCGGATGACGGCGGGAAGGTGATGCATCAAAAATTATCAAAAGGCTGGAAACGATTCTTGTACTGATTTTCTTGGTTGCTTCGATCATGAAGATTCTTTCTATGGGGTACAACTTTGGACCAGATGGAGTTCAGGTAATTGGACTTGAATCAAGAAATGTTTATTGAAAGATATCAAAACATAGTTTAAGAGTCCGGTCACAATTACTATTCCATTCAATCAAGATCAGGTAACAAACATATTCTTGAATGATCCAATGAATCTTTTCTTCCAAGGCTCTGCCATACTTGAATCGAAATTTTGAACTGGCTGTCTGGAAACTGAATACCTGTAAGATGACGTCATGACACATTTTGACTTTTTTGGATGATTTTCGTTTTAGCTACATTCACATGGGAGCGAAAGCCATATCCAGCAGGTGAGAAGATATTTTGTGAAGGCCCATACGACTGCAGTTCCTTTCCAGATTTTGAATGATTTTGTAGGTATGAATAGAGATACAGCAGTGAAGACAAGCGAAGGAGTCGTGCTTGGCTCGACTACTTCATTCTCCACGTATGCTGTGCGAGTGACGCCAGCGGGATTTGCTCCTGCACCTGCAACAGCTCCTGCATCTTCCCGCGTGGCGACGAATACGTCTGCCACTGAAATTTCAGTGGAAAATGGTAAAATACTTTCTACATACATCATGCTGACGAAAGATATGAAATTGCAGTGATGACTACGCCTGCTGGTGTATCTGCCCCTTCGCCTGTTGCAGTTACATCAAAGTATGAAAAATGACTTTGCAAGATTTAATGTTTGACTTTTCTCATTTAGAGAATTTTCCTGTAGCTCTAATGCATATTGCGTTGGAGGGATTGCGGGTCTTCGGAAGCTTGTCTATGTCGGCGCAGCTGACCTATCGTTATCAGGCGGAGGCGGAGCTGTTTGTGCGCTGATGTGCATAGCCCTCGTATACAGGAGGAGGAAAAGGCAGTTGCCAGTGGAGGTTTACTTGGAGTCGTCCAATGCAGTTTGAACATGATATTTGTCTCAGGGATCTAAAGGTGGACGAGACTTCGATGCCAACAAAGATGAAATGGACACTGTAAAGATAATTCTCGTTCATTGTATTCTGATTGAACATTCAGGGCATTCAAGAACTGAGGAACAAGATCGATGCTGATGATGGCGAGGACATTCTCCTGTCACTTCAAGTCAGACAATACGCTAGGATGCTGAAATGGATTTGTTTTGACAGTTATTTCTTACATAGGAAGCCAAGGATCAGCTGAAGACCATGAAGGGTCTTAAACCAAAGTCTGACTCAATAGAAAGCTACACAATGTCACAATTATCCTTGATGAACAGCTTTTGCGTTGACTTGCATTCTATAGAGACTGGCTGAAAGCAACGATTTCTTGGAGACTATCTGTCATACGCTTTTCAATGCAATTGTGCAGCTGATCAATTTTGCAGGAGCTTGAACTGGAACAAGATCAGAAGAAAGAAAAGCTTGCGAAGACAGCTGTAAGTTTTTTACACTTTTGAGATGCCAGGATTAATTGCGTTCAGATTGAGAGAGATTTGCTGGAAGAGATCAGAAATCCTTTCTTCTACTCGCTGTATGTGAATATGGACCAGCAGGTATGTTTCAATTAAGAATGATAGCAATCAAATGAATATTTTGCTATTTGTCAGATTTTGGAAGAAGAGTCGAACATGGTATTCCAAAGAAATTTACTTGACATTGAATCATTCATAAGCAATTTTGCTTTAGAAAATTCTCCAATCCGTACTCACTTCGTCGGCAACGCCCTCGCAAGGTGACTCCTGGATGTGTTATCTTGTGCTTACAGACATCAGGACAAGCAAAAATAGACTCAATCATTCAAGAAGCGCACAACAAAGTTGGTCAGTGCAACCACTGAGCTTCGATCTTATCAAAATTTGGCCTCTGAAAGTTTTTGACTTTGCTGGTCTAGGGAAGGGATCAAAAGTTACATTCCATTTTCAAAATCAAACTACAGAGCCTTTTCAGCTCTCAGCTGATAAGTTGCAGAATGGCTTAAGTATTTCATCATCTTTCTGCAATCTTGCGCATTCACAGATCCTTCTAGGAAATTCTGGAATCTGTGCGGAAAATCAAAAAGAACTCAAGAAGTACATCATCGGGTATGATGCTCCGGTTGCGATAAAGTTCTCTTAACTGCATATTGTAAACAACAGTCGATACGACGAAGGCACATTGAAGGTGTGATTCAATCCTATGTTTTCTTGATTCTTTTAAATTCTTCAGTTTAGAGTTCCGATGTTACAAAGTTGAAGGGGTTGATGCGAGAAAACTTTGAAAACCGAGCTTTTAAGGTAACTCACAGTTGTGCTCCTCGAATTGCCTAATGTGTATCATGGCAAGGAACCATTTTTTGGCAAGAAATCATATTACTGTGATATTCTTCAATCCGTTCCACAGAAAAATGTTACTCAATCCACTTTCACTGATCCAAAAGGTTGTTTGACTTGTATTGTAGAGCATGAAGGATTTCGTAGACAAGAAATTGGCCAAGGTGAGGAAGCCGAGGAGTTCTCAAGCTTACATTTTCATGCTAGACGGGGGTGCAATCCAAGGAAGTTCTCGTTCTAAAGGAGGTCATTTTAATGTGTTGCCTCGCTCGTTCATTCACTTTAACATGCAGAGAGTCAAATTTTGGAGAAAGAAGATCAACGCCTTCCAGCTGCAAAAGGAATCTCTCGTCCTTCATGTTCGATCCCCTCTTTGATTTTCGTTTCAGGAAATCGCAGAAATGCAGGATGCCAAGCAAAAGAGGGTAGGAGAAAGTCTTTTTCACGCAAAGTTTTGATGCTATGGACAAGGATACTGAGTCAGCAGTGGCGTTAATCCTCGAACGAAAGAAAATACGATTAGAAGAGCAGGTAAGCCGAGGAAGAATTGATAGTCTTGAGAATGATACATTTACACAGGAAAAGAGGATGCAGGAACAAGCAAATCAGGATCGTTTGTTGCAAGAATTGGCAAATTCAGAAAAATCTTTGGAAAAGAGCGCAAGAACAAGTCGGAATTTCTTTTCGTTCGCTAAGAGGTGAGGGATACACATGGATTTTATGTTTCTCGTCAGCATGTATCAGGTCGAGATCTCCTTCAAACCGTAGTCCAGCTGCGACAAAAGAGACAGAGACGCAGGTGACGGAGAATTCTGCGATCTCTCCCCTCACTTGGAGCCTCAAGGAAATTTCACCTGCGGAGGTAGCGAAATATGAATCAGAAAATGAAACATCACTGGAATTACCAAGACATCCCCGACACGATGAACTTGCAAATCGTCTTGCTGAGCTTGAGCGCTTGAAACAACAATGTAGACGACTTCTACAATCATTTGTTTTGATACTGATGTTGCTTCAGTGCTCGAAGCAGGTTTTGATGTTACGAATGTGGATGCATGGATTAGAAAATTGCATGATCGTAAGGAGTGTACGCTAATTCAAGGTTCAAATAATCCTCCCTCGCAGTTCTATTAAGCGGAAGGGAGATAAGCGAAGGAGAGCTTGAAGATTTGAAGGTACGGTGCAGCCTCTGGACGTCTTCATAGTATTTCTGCTTTGCTGAACATGATTGATGGAATAGATTCGTATACGACAGGATCAACACAAACTGCTTGATCACTCCAAATGGAATAGAAACTTTGCAAGGAAACATTATTTTCGTTTTGATATTCTGCTGTGATCGATTCTTTCGCCAGGTTGAGGGAATTTAGAACCCGGACTGGACATACAGTACGATGTCATTCCCGATTTTGTTCACAACTACTCATTTTGTTACAGGCTGTACCGATGAATTCAAAATGGTTCGATGGAGAGCTTGGACTATGGGTACACGAGCAGGCAACAAGCACTTGATTGATAGCTTTACTCTCTCGCTCAATTCAATATTGCAGCGCGAATTATATCATGCTGGGAGATTGCAGCCTATTCAGATTCAGGCTCTTGAAGATATAGGTCTCGATTAATGCTTTTTATCACAAGTTTTTCATACTTGTGTTAGAATTTTGTTGGAACGAAGAAGTTGCTCAATCGGCGATCTCGCGAGCAGCTGGGACTGTTTACAGAAAGATTGAAGTAACAATCGATGGCAGCTAATCAGCAAGCATTGACATTAATCGCAGATAAGCGACACCCTCAGCGCTGTGGCAGACCTTGGCTTTCCATCGGGAGTGCGGGATCATGATGTATGTCGAAGATCTCGTGTGTACCTCTCATGTCTCCGTCAGCCGCGCGTTCCATTCTGGAACACTTTGATTTCAGCCGTCAGTGCTGTGATTCCTCCAAGCAGCGTCGAAGGAGATCTTGGTAGAAATTTTCTGACATTGCAAATTTCTCAACATGTCTTTCAGGATTCGTTGAGAACAGAGATCAAAAGTTTCTCTTAGCGAATGATGAAGCTGGAAGCGATGAAGGAGAAGCAAGTTATCAGGTTTGTTTATCAAGACAAGAATTCTTAATGTCTCATTTCTGTGCAGAATGCCTTCATTCATACGTAAACATGTTTAGGTCAGCAGGTTTTTTCAAAATAAAAGCGAGCAGTTTCATTGATGATCTTCATAAGGGGCGGGCAGCTCTCAACATACTGGATGTCTTGTGACAAGACCTGTCGATAAACATCGAGTCAATCAAATACAAAAGATGAAGACCACGAGTACCTTCCATTCATCGCACATTCTGCATAACAATCTTTGCAGTAATCTACTTGATAACATTCTAAACAAGTATAACAAGCCCCTGAGATCCTTGATGCACACAACATACACATTCTTGATGTTCCTAATGTCTGCAGGTTTTGACTTTCGGCTTTTGCATAGTTGCGATGTATACCTTGTACATTTCGAGGGAGGTGCGAAGATCATGCACAAACTCCTGCTTAGATAGGTTGCGAGAAATGCTGAGAAACCAAAAACTGCAGAAAATCTTTGATTGCAACAAAATGCGATCTTATCAATACCAATTTGCCAGGTTCAAAGATTCTCTTTGCCCGCTACTTCTCAGCATACTGAGAAAATCAATATCAAAGTGACATGTTGGGCAATGTTGAATACCTTGCACTCTCCAAGAAGCATTCGATGGCTTCTTGCAACCTTCCGTCTAGCATCCTTGAGCGTTGATCCTTCAACCAGCAAAAAGCATTGCAGAATTCGGCACCTGACTCTACCTCGCAGTATTTGTAGGTATGCTAACTTGAGGGTGCATGCATTCTCCTCCAAAATCATGCTTGCAACATTGATCAGCTGTTCGACCTGTACAAAAGTCATGATGTTGCAGACATGATAATGCCTTTCTCCATACATTGTTGCCCGACTCTAGACCAAGCTGCAATGACTTTTGTCATATTTGTGATGAAATCATTGAAATAACCATTTTCATCTCGACAATTTTCACCAATAAATCAGTCTCTATGAGGCAAAGTTAGTTTTACCATGTACAACTTGCCCAGGTCGTACTAGTTATTGAGTCTCCAACGCCTTCCACTCGTTTCAATATCTTTTCTCCTTCAAGTACAGCGTCGTATGAACTGGAAGAAGTATAACGCATCCGTGTGTTGAGAGGTCAAATGATTACAGCTGCTTCATCGTATCTATCAACGATTCTCCTTGTCTCCTGTGATCAGACCGGCTCAAAGGAATCTTGTACATGAAACAAATGGCTACATTCTAATCCTCAACTCGCTCGACATTCGCGAAGTTGTTCGCCATATCCAAAGGATTGCCATGATTCTTGAAAGCATCAATTTGTTATGATTTGCAAGACAGCTGCCAGCAACAACCAAAACCAAGTGAGTGTGACATAGACAAAGCATGGTCGTACCGCGCCAGATTGCTCTCAAGCGAAGATGACGCAGCTTCTATCTTCCTTTTCCAATCATTTTCAAACAGAATTTTCTGTATCTCCGCGTGCTCAAATTTTATCATTGCTGCCTGCGTATGGATCACTTGTGCAATGTTAAATTCAAGCATTATCCACTTCAATCTTGTCATCTAGCTTCTCCAAGAGGTTGGAACTTTCCTTCCTATTATGTAATCGTCAAAAGATGAAATGAATAAACGCGAGAATTCCAATTACAAGAGCTGCTGACTTTTTTCGTAACATCCTTGTTCTTTTTCAACACGGCCGATTCCTCCCATCGCTTTGGCTTTCATTCGTATCTGATCAATTCCTCCAGATAATTCAAGACATTTTTGAAAATGATTTTTTGCCAATATGTAGTTTCCCTTCCTACAGAAATGAAGCATTAGTGCGCTTTCATGTCCAATCGATTCAATCGTATTTGTTACCAAAACTGGGCTTCACCTATCCTTTCATGTATCACACATTCAGTCGAGATGTCGTTGTGATCTGCGGCGATTTGCAAAGCAGCGTTGAAGTATCCTATTGCCTAGAAGGAATAAAATAAATGACTGTTGTGCAGATATATTTCCAATAAACTATAGAACTACCTGAATCACTTTCCCATTGATAACTGCAATATCTCCCAGTAATCGAAATGCTGTCGAAATTCCTTGTTTATCACCATGCCAAGAAAACCTTTCCAAAGCTTAAAATGATGTTGAGAAACACTGGCTTCAAAAGCTTACTCTTTTTCAGATAGTTTTGCGGCTTCAAACGCTTCTTTGATATCACCATTTCTCAAAGCAAGCTCTGCTTTAAAACGCAAAACCGTCCCCAATGCCTGTTCCAAAATCATCGGAGTAAATATGTTGAAACCATTGTTACCATATGATCTTCAAGCTCGGAAAAAATCTTAATAGCGATTTCAGAGTGCTTGTCATATACTAAGGTGTAGTCCTTCCAAACTGATGAGAAAATAACGAACATTTTTGAAAATGACCTTTTCAGAATCCAACAAGAGTCCTGGTTCAGTGGCCTTCTTTAAAGCAGCCATCGCAATCTGATATTGATTGGAGATGTAACTTCTATGTACTTCTAACAATTTTTCAGGAATAGCACCAAATTGCCTGCAGTCTTCATGAGCATCAAATATATGCAAATTTTCCACCAACGTCTCTTCATTTCCAACTTTGCCATTGTACAAGCTTTCAGCATATTTGAAAACGCTGGTTGCCCACCAAAATCTCTTGTCCATAGTCAATTGCTTAGCATGAGTTTCTTGAAATGCTGCAAATTGTATTGCTATTTTCCGTATCTTCATCTTTATGATTTTTCCCCACGATCTGTGTGAAGTTGGATTACAAATATGTATCTGGAACATGGTAGTTAGTTTGTACTGATCAATCGAATGGATCATTCTGAAAGCTTCCGTAAGATCATTTATTGAATTGACGAATGTGCGTGTTCCGAACGAGCAGCTCCATGTTCTGCGTGATGATCATCAAATCTAACAATTTATCTGGATGTACCCCTCTTCAGAATTTTCAGCCTCATGTAACGAGTTTGGGATATTCAGCTCTTGCTTGATGGCATCTATGGAGGATTGAGTCTCTCAGGTAGTTCAACAATCGCACGTACGCATGGCGGTGATGAAAGCGTCGAAGTCGAGATCTGAGTGATCGTTTGCAGCCTGTGATGGAAATTGATCTTCCCAGGGTTGATACAAATGAACACACCTCTTGTCCATGAGCTTCACGGAAAATCTCGAATGCCTATCCACGTATCAATGATGCCGGTTTGCTCGAAGAGAAAAGTCGAGCTGCCTTGTCAGAAGATATTTGATACGATGTTGGCGAGCTTCCTCGCGGGGCAACGATTTCCAAGTCACTCAGCAGTAACAAGAAGTCATGGAATCTTAATGTCTTTCGAACTCTTCCGGCTCGTTCATTTTCTACTCCAAGTTTCCGTCTAAATTCCTCAATATCAACACAGATGATCGCACATTGTGGGCTTACTTGATATATTTCAGTTCAGGGAGAATTCCATTCTTTAGACTGTTTGTGTCAGCTTCGTCAATCCTGCAATTTCTTGTTAAAAAATGCATACATGTACAATTTCTACCATATCATTGCTGGATTGAAATCTAAAGATGTTTTGGTTTCTTGCATGCTAAATTTGTCTTGTTCGCGACCACCAAGACAATAATCTAGGTATAAGGAATTTGGTATTAGTTGGACGATGGTTTGATTAGAATGATTTCCATCGTCATCCAAGATCTGGATAACATCAGCAAAACATGACAAAAACCAACTGAAACTCACAGGATTTCCATTCGGTCGATATAACCACGTCTTAGAAGGGAACACCCCTTCTTTGTCGTTCACACGTCCATCATACCACGTGTGAAAGTGGTCCTCTTGTGACAACATCTATCATTCATTCATCATTCTGACCCTTCAAGTATGGAACAAAACAACACCTCATTCAACTTGTAAACCTGAATTACATCCCCCTTTTGAAACGATAGTTCCTTGTCTCGTGTTGCAGTCCAAGCCATCTGAGCATTACCAAACCTCTTCACAGTGAGATCATAAATTCTTAGATATCTTGTCAATTCGCAAACACAGAAGCAGCTACGTAAATCAGTCAAAAATCACTACTCGATCATTCTGTTTTGCAACACCTCCCAACATCTTGAAGGCAGGAAGAGACATTCCTCTCAATCAGGGCTACTTTGGCCTATTCCAACGTAAAACGAATGTAATGAACTAAAGGGGAATCATACCCGACGAACCCAAGCTTTTGCAATTTCACTCTTGGACCTCTCACCCTTACGGAAATACCAGCTGCTGGCTAGCATTTCAATCATCAGACAAGACTTCAACACGTGGGAAAAGATTTCACCCTTCTTAAAAGCTTCGATAGCTTCACAATAATCTTTAGAATTGTATCTGACAATTAAAGGTTAGGACGACACAGATGAGTTTCGACAATCATGTACAGATTGTGTCCTTGTTGTAAAAATAGCTCGGCTGCATCCAAGCTTTTTACTCCACGTGCATGCTGCTCCTGTTGACGTCGCTTTAACAGATACATCATATCAAAGAAAGAAAAATTGCCTCGACTATCACTCCTGTATTGAATCGGCTCTTATTGTCCGCATCTTTTCTGATTTGTAAGGTTCAGTAGATGCATAGAATCTGGTGTATATATTTTACTGTTTCTCGCAGACTCGTGAAACCGTAATTTCCCATTTCCTACAATTTGCATGCCTTCATGAAATGTATACATTCCAAATTTTCGAAATTTACCAAAGCAGTTGCCTATTGTCCCAGATGCTATTGTCGTCCTCCAATAAAAAAGCCAATTCCCAATTCATGACCTGAAGGAAATGAATACAACTTTCTGCGAATAATTGTTGACCTTTGGGGCAAGTAACTCGATTCCTCTGTCTGCGTCCATCTCACAGGTTACTTGAGTTGTGACTTCCTTCAACAACTCCTGCACAAGCAGCAGCGCTGGCCGGTAACGAGCGACGAGCAGGGGTGCATGGCAAGCAGTTGAAAGCAGTACTGGTAGTGAGCAGGTCCTTAAAAGTTCAGGTTCAGGTTTAGGTTCAGGTTTAGGTTCAGGTTTAGGTTCAGGTCTATTTTAGGTTTAGGTTTAGAGGTTTCCACCCGTGCTCAACGTATCTTCGGAGATACACGTGCCCCTGAAGGGAACGTAATTTGGTAGGGGTCCCTCAGCAAGCGTTAACTTCAGCACAGGGTTTTATCAGCTGGATGTAAAGAGGACTGGGGGGGTGGTCAAACTTGATGTCATAGAAAGGCTGTAGGTTGGGGTGGGTGGTCTCAGTTCAGACTACTTGTGACATGGTTGCGATCGCTGCGGCGACATCGGCAGTTCATGCAGCACATGCAGAGATTGCAGTGAAGGAAGTGTCGATATCAGATAAGCTTCTCCTCCCCGACGAGTCTCTTTGGATCAAAGAAGGTTTGCTGGAGAAAAAGAGAGTCGGCGCGACTGTCTCGTGGAATCCGAGGCGAGCCGTGCTGACCAAGGATGCTCTCTTCTTCGCGAAGCCGAACACGACGTACATCATCGACGAGATTCCGCTAGAAGAAATCGTCAACATACTCGAAGAGTTCGATGAGGAGGAGCCCAAGGACTTCTTAAGAGAAATAATCGTGGAAACATCACCTACTGGAATCAATGTTGGGCGAGCGTACACCTACAAGGCTGACAGTGACGAGCACAAGGAATGGCTCGCAGCTATAAAGAATGCGAGGACCGAGAAGCTTGCAGAGATTGAGTTCGAACTTCTGTCTGAGAAGGGGAAACTCCGACAGTTTCGTGCTCACGTCAAAGCGATGTATGAGTCCAACCCCATGCAGGCTGCAGTCGCTGGGTTGATTTTCATAAGCTTCATACTGGACCTTGCTCAAGCAGAGATATTGCCGGAGGATGGCTCTGAAGCACAAGCAAATTTCTTTAGGATCGATATCTTCTTTACTGTCATGTTCACTTTAGAACTGATGGTCAACTTATTTGCAAAATCTCAAAACGCATTTGCTGAATTTCTGTCGGACGGGTGGAACTTGCTGGATGTTGTAATCGTCATTGCGTCTGTGTTGACTGTACTTGCATCAAACATCCCTTCTGTCAAGGTGTTCCGTCTTGTCAGGGTCTTCAGGGTTGCGAGGATTTTTCGCAGGTTAAAGTCCCTGAACCGAATCATATCAGCATTGGCTTGTGCTGTCTTACCCGTCGTGAATAGCTTTCTCATCCTCGCTCTCGTCACCTGTATCTGGGCAGCTTTAGGAACTCAGTTCTTTCGATTCCGTAATGAACCAATGTTTGGTTCATTCTCCAAGTCTCTCTTCACAGTGAGCAAAAGCCTTGTGCACCTTACAAGTAAGTGACAGGTCCCATTGCAGATGTTTCAAGTCGTGACAGGCGACGGGTGAATTATCACTACAGCAGTAACATCAAAATTTGACTTACTCTTTCCAGATGGGCCTCGTCTATAACTAGGGTATTGTTTGACGACGAGACTCTGAGAAATGGGACAGATTTTGGCATTGCTTTTTTCTTCGTCAGCTACGTTCTTATAGCAGGGGTGGTGCTGATCAATGTTGTCATTGCAGTGCTTCTTGATGAGTTTATCTCCTCTATTCAGCGGGAAAAACAGGAGATTGAAATACGAGAGAAGATTGAAGAGGAAAAAAGAAAGGCTCTGACACGTTGCAGCGGAATTTTAGACCCTCTTTCTTCTCACCTCTCACATTTCGTCACCGATAGGGATCTTGCAAAAAAGATAGCAGATGCTTATGAAAGGCTCGATAATGATGGATCCGGTGGACTCAATTACGAAGAGTTTCAGCGAGGGCTGAAGCGACTTCCTACATCTTCTCCCATCCATCTCCAAGATGATGATTTTGATCTGCTCACAGAAGGAGGGAAACTCTGTAACTCGCGAGGAGAGTTTAGTGCCTATCAGTTCCAAGACATGATGCGAGAAGAGATCCGTCGTTATGCACAGAGACAAGTGGCCAATGCAATGCAAGAGAGCACAAGCAAAGAAATGCGCGCGATGCTCCTCATGATCAAGCTGATGGATCAAAGAATCGACACAATCTCAAAGATCGTACATTCCTGGGGGTATTCGAACAAAGGCATTGCAAGGATCATTGAGGTGTACTACAAACATGACAAAGACGAGAGCGGTCAGCTGAGCAGAGAAGAAGCAATTGAGGCTTTGAAGGAACTCTCCATACCTGCATCAAAGCGTGATGAAGTTATACAGCGCCTGGACTCTGATGGAGACGGCTTCATTTCGAAAGAGGAGTTTTACTCAATCTTGGAGATTATAGAAGAATTGTCTGATGAAAGGCTGAAAAACATTGAGAGGATGGTTGCCTCCATACAACAAGCAAACCTTCCTCACACTACAAAGGCAGACATGTCAAGATATTTTCATGCAAATGCCTGTAAGCAGAAATAGCTTACTAGAGAAATCTTACTAATTATTGTTGATCAGCTCCCTCTCAGGAAGAACCGCAACGATCACCATTGGAGGATGTAAGAGCCTCAGACTCCTTTTGTTTTTTTCTACCTCTTCTCTTCTTTCTCCATCAGTTGACTTTGACCAGGGTAAGGAACATAAAGCGAAATCGCGAAAGAAGAAGAGCAGTGAAGTGGGCAAGGTGTTGAAACCTGCGACTTTAGAGAGAAAGCTTTCTTTGAACTCCATCATGGACGGGAAAATTCTCAAAAGTGTCGTTGACCTTGTTTTCACTGAAGGCGCTGATAAAGAAGAGACAGAGAAACTGCAACATGGGGTGAAAGACAAGTTTATCAATAATGCAATGCTGCCAAAAAAATCCGGTTCCATGCTGAGGGTTTACTCACGCCTTGACAACGATACGAACTCGAAGTAGCTGTAGGATAATTGAAGAATTAGCAGTGCGAGACAATGCAAATCATTCTATCAGTCATTGAAAAGCGTGATGATAAAGCTTGGGTAACAAAACGAGAACCTTGAAAACATCTCCACTGATCAAATCTTCCCCGCACTGGGGGTTTCTCAGCCTGGACGCAGCAGCTTCGTGTAGAGGCGACGAGGCCCGGCGAGCCTTGCGTGGGCTACGACATTGACCCTTGCCCACGAGACGAGCGCACAGTCGCAGCGAGAGAGAGCAGAGATCAACCCTCCTATCCTGATCTCGCCTCGCACTTCTCGTCCTGCTCAGCCTCACAGCACAGGGGGAGGGGGGGGGGGGGGATTTGCTAGGTCCCGACGTGCCCCCGCGTGTTTTTGCGTGTCGGGGTCGAGGAGGCCTATCTTGAAGAGCAGGGGCGATATCAGGTGCAAGGCTAGGTACGCGTCGCGACCTCGCTTCACTCCGAAGACTACCCCGCTCCGCTTGTCAAGACACGCTTTCATCTGCCCTTCGTCTGGGACAGGACCTCTACTCTCGCGGCCTTGCCGGGTATTTCAGGCAGCATGGCTGCGCGCCAGGTGTAGGGGAAGCCGCCAGGGCGCGAAGGAAGCTGCGAGCAAGGGGTTGGTATAGTTCAAACAGCTTTCTAAGGATGGTTCTTCAGTATGATGAAAGTGCTCGCAACAACACGCAGGGCAGGCTGTGGAGGGATGCACCCCCGACGCTATCGCAGAAGCCATCCGCTTACCTTAAATTGAGGTGTCTGAGGCAGATTCCCTAGTTAAGCTCATTCACTATGTATAAGGAGAATCGTGAAATAATAAACTTCACGTGCATGGTTTACGGACCCCGTTAGACTAGGATGCAAGTGTTTCAAACAGCACAAGCTACCCTAGTTCTCTAATATCTGAGCTTAGATGATCATAGGAACGCTGTTTATCAAGCACACACACTCATCAGATCAGCACCATGCTGTCTGGCATTGTCATCCTAATTCCCTACGCTACGTCCAAGGGGCGTCCGTATGAGTCTGAGAATACCACATCGCTCCCACTGCGTGACGACAAGGAGGTCCAACTGTCGTTGACTTCGATCAAAAGGTGAGTTGTTGGTCGGCAAGAGAAGGGGAGAAGAGCGGCGGGAGGGTGACGTGGTTTGAGTGCCAAGACCCGAGGATGGGACGGACTTGAGCAGTGAGGTAACATAAGTAGCAAAGAAGACCCGACAAAAACGAGATTCACAATGGCAACGAACACAAGACCCGGAACGAAAGCGAGAGTTGGGATCTAATGAGATGTGATACAGACCAGGTAGTTTTCAATGATTTCGATGGTGATTTGTTTTTGTGACAAACATTCACTTGATATCTGAAGGACACGTAACCCACTGGGAAAATGGATCTCGGACTCTTCAACCAAGTTTCCAGCGGACAAACCCCCTCCTTCATGAACGTGAGACTCGGAGGATGAGCCAGGAAGAGCCCAACGAGTCAAAGGGATGGAAGGATGCGACTGCTTGGCTCCTTCTTTCATTCAATCCGACTTGCCTGCCGTCTCTCTACTCTCCTTCACCCACCTTCTCTGTGTCTTCATCTTTCCTTTCTCTCCTTCTACCTCATGCCGTTGTCGGCTCTACCTCAACGATCCTGTACTTCCCTACCGCAACCTCTACCTCCTGGGCTTGACCCGTTGGCTGCAAGTATGTCAGGGGCGCATACAGTACCTCCTCCTCCTCCGGGAACGCCGACAGCCAAGACACGTCTACTCCGCTCTGCAGGCCGTTCTTTGTCTTGATGCGGAAGATCAGTCCATCCCTGCTCATGCTGTACCCAGCTGCCACCCTCAGCTCCCTCGACGTTGACATCGGAGCCAGCTCCGTCCCTCCTTTCGCTGCAAAGTCGTCCGACACCGTCAGGTTTCGCATCCCTCGCCACAGCACCTTGAGCTCCGTCCCCTCAGACGCCTTGAGCGCCCGAAGCTTCTTGAGGCCCTCAACGATGAGGAACACGAGCAGGGGCAGAGGATGTCGCTCTCGCCTCGCTATACGCGCCCGATCCCTCAGCGGGTTGTTGATGTGGGTGAAGCTCGGCAGCGTGTACAGCCGCAGCGCCGCGACCTCCTCGGACAGTTTTGCTTCCTTGGCGTATGGATGACTCACAAAGTCTCTCAGTCTCATCCCTCCGCCTCGTGCCCTTATCCGTCTCCTCCTCCCTCGCAGCTTCCGACAAGACATACTCCAGGTCTCTCGTCAGCTCTGAGCTCCCGTAGGCCTCTACTTCCTCTCTCATCTTGGTTGTCGCGTCCTCAAGCTTCTCGTATACCTCCTTCAGCGGCACCTGCAGCAGCTCTTCTAGCCCCCAAGCTGCGTGCTTGTACTCCCCGCAAACCAGCGTCCTCGAGTCCGACATGAAGCGCTCATTGTTCCTTTCATCTTCTGTCTTTCCCTCTCCAGTCTGCAGCATTTGCACCACCAGACTCTCGTATTCCTCCACGCTAAGCAGTCTAGACCCATCGCTCGTCTCAGAGAGATATTTGTCTACCGAAACCTTGACCTGCTTCTTTATTTCTTGCAGCCGCTTCTCCTCTTTTTCCTCCTCCATCTCTGTCTCTTCAATTGTCTTCGTCACCTCAAAGTTTTCCATCCAAATGCTCAAGTCCCTTGCTGTCTTGCCAGCATTGCTTCTTGCCTGCCTCAGGTTCTTTCCTCCCGCCTTCAGCAACACCTTTGCGATCTCTTTCTCACCCGCATGCGCCGCCCAATGTAGAGCCGTCCATCCGTTCTTGTCTACAGTCATCAAACTTGCCCTTCCAACTATTAGCCTCCTCACTCTCTCTGGGTCTCCTCCCTGCACAGCCGCTAGCAGAAGCTCCCCGCTCCTTAGCCGCCGCAGCCAGTCCTCTATCTTGCTCGCCAGCTCCTCGTCCTGTTTGTCTCGCGCCACCTCCGCGGCTGTTCGTCCGCGCGAGTCTCTCACAACCTTATCACTATGACCAGTGAGGCAGGCCTTCTCCGTCATCTCCTCAAGGTCCCACACCCTCAGTGTGCCATCGGCACTGCCGCTGACTGCTGTCTTCCAGTCCTCGCTTATTCCTACGCTCAACACCTCACCACTGTGACCAGTGAGGCAAGCCTTCTCCGTCATCTCCTCAAGGTCCCGTCTTGTCCCAGCTCCCGCTGACTGCTGTCTTCCCGTCCTGACTGATAGAAACACTTAGTATCGTACTAAGATGACCAGTGAGACAGGCCTTCTCCCTGAACCTCTCAAGGTCCCACACTCTCACTGTCTTATCCATACTCCCGCTCACTGCCATCTTCCCGTCTTTGCTGATTACCACGCTGGAAATCCAATCACTATGACCGGTGAGGCAGGCCTTCTCCGTCATCTCCTCAAGGTCCCACACCCTCAGTGTGCCATCGGCACTGCCGCTGACAGCCATCTTCCCGTTCTCTATGATCTCCACACTTAATACCCCCGAACTGTGACCGGATAGAGTAGCCGGCCCATGCTTGATCCTCTCAAGGTCCCACACCCTCACTGTCTTGTCCCAGCTCCCGCTGACTGCTGTCTTCCCGTCCTGACTGATAGAAACACTCTTTACCTGTTCGCTATGCCCGGTGAGACAGGCCTTCTCCGTCATCTCCTCAAGGTCCCACACTCTCACTGTCTTATCCCAGCTCCCGCTGACTGCTGTCTTCCCGTCTTTGCTGATTACCACGCTGGAAATCCAATCACTATGACCGGTGAGGCAGGCCTTCTCCGTCATCTCCTCAAGGTCCCACACCCTCAGTGTGCCATCGGCACTGCCGCTGACAGCCATCTTCCCGTTCTCTATGATCTCCACGTTCTTCAACCAATCACCACTACTGGACAGAGCAGCCTTTTCCATCAAATCTTCCTTACTTTGGGATTGGTCTCAGAGAATGACAAAATACTGAAATGGTTTTCAGTGCAAACGGAAGCAACGGCTATGCACAAGAATACGAAGAATGCTATGCGACACGAGACGGACATGGCCACGGCGGCAGAGATGCCGCTGTACTCAGTGCAAATCTCCTCCCCTGTGCCATCAGGGAAGTTCACTCGAAGTGAGATTGAAACAATCTGCGCAAGTGACGAAACAGGCAGAGCAAAAGTTATCCGAAACATCAGGAGAGCTATCAACTGCTGGGACCCACTGGTGGAGAACGAGCTTCAACGGGTGCACATCCAATGCGATCCAGAGACTGGGATCTGGGATGGGTCTGGAATCATTCTCAGGCCGGCTACGATGTGAAGGTAGTGCAAGAAAGATGATAGCTGAATTCCCCACACAGCTCCTATGTTGGCAAGGCACAGTCGAGATTCAAACAACTGCGAGCAGTCTGAACCTTCAAGTGTCGCCTCAGGCAACTCGCGATCAGTCGAACCAGGCCAGGGGAAAGAGATTGAGCTCAGTTCAATCATCAATGAAACCAACCTCCCCGATGCGGGAACGGACGCGGTAGTGGAAGAGCTGAAGGAAGCTATTGCTGAGGTAAGCAGGAGCGAGCTGCAACAACAAGGACGGATTCAACTCCAGCTTGATGAAGCGGTGCAAGAGATGGTTCTGGAGAGCCCAGGAAACGCATCCTTCCCCACGCTGAAAGAGTGGGCGGATAAGGATGCTAACGCGGCCGAGAATGCCGTGAGCAGGCGACTGAGAGAACGCGTCAGGGCGATCGCAGGCAAGCATACGTGGAAGGTAGCGAAGCGCAGGAGCAGCGCTTTCGCACCAAATGAAGAGAAGCCCTTGAAAACTGACCTTCTCTTCATTGCTTTGAATAAATTCCTGGAGGAAACGGCGCTCTCCCTCGTAGGAATGCTGGGAGACAGAAACGAATTGAAACTTGTTTTGAGCAGTGAGATACAGATGGAAGACGCTCGAGTGGAAGATGCACCCGAGGCAGGGAGCAGGGCGGTAGAAGTGGAAGAGATGTCGCTTGACTCCTCCCCAACCGCGCCGCTTGACGCCTAATGGAAGCAGGAGGAGGAGGAGAGGGCAGGTGTAGGGTTTAGGGTTTACATACGCTATGGACAGCAAGAAGGGTAAGAGAGTCGATGTAGTCCGATGGGGGCAGGCGCGGCTCATGGGCAAGCCACCCATGGCGCATGGTCATGGGCTGCACGAAGGGAAGAAGAGAAGGGCTAGCCAGCAGGAGAAGGTACAGCCTTGCCACAGTGGGCGAAAACAACTAATACGGAAGCAACCAGGCCTAAGGGGCCTATAGGAAAATGGGCCAACAGGCCTAAGGGGCCTATAGGAAAATGGGCCAACCTCCCAAGGTTGGGAACCCCTTTAGACGGATCATTAGGCGAGAGATGAGCGAAGCAATAGTTCTTAGCTATGAAACTCTTGACTAAGAGTCTAATAAACTCAAATAATAATAATAATAATAATAATAATAATAATAATAATAATAATAATAGGGTTTAGGGTTTAGGGTTTAGGAGGATCCCTTTATCTGAGGCATGCAGATCAGCGTGATCCCTGCGTGGTAGAGCAAGAGTCGCCAGGAACGCAGGAAGCTCGGGAAACCATCGAGAATGCTTCGAAACATGTGGCCAGGGTTTAGGGTTTAGGGTTTAGGGTTTAGGGTTTAGGGTTTAGGGTTTAGGGTTTAGGGTTTAGGGTTTAGGGTTTAGGGCCGTTATTTTCGGCAGCAGCCTGGTTTAGGGTTTAGGGTTTAGCTCAGCTCGCCTTCGACGGCAAGTTGCGAGCAGACCTTGGCCTCGTTCAGAGAGAGCGAGGCGATGGAGGGGGTGCATCTCACTCTCATCAGCGACGACGCCAAGCTCAGAGAGACGTTTGCAGTCGAGCTCACAGCCGACACCTTCGTTCCTAGGGGAAAGATCGCCAAGCAGAGGAGGGCACTTCGCGAGAGAGATCATGCGGGGCGCAGCAGCTTCAGAGTGCAGATCAAGTCGAGGTCAAGCATGAGCACAGGCCGCTTCTCGAGGAAGGAGATGGAAGCGCTGTGCG